TTGTTCGAGCAGTCATCGCAAGCTTCCAGAACTTGATCCATGTCTGGCAGAGCATCTTCAGAGACATAGTCCCTGCGGAGGAAAGAGGCCAGCACCTGTCTGAATGGGAGGCTCCAGCCGGAATCTGGCCTTGCAAAAAAGGTGACAAGAGTCGAACCGAGTTTCTGGAGGACGAAGCTTGAATCTGAGAGAATCACTAAGCGAATGTAATTTCGTACTAGTGCTTCAAGCAGGTACTTTCTCATGTGCTCATCCTTGTCCAAGCCATCCTGGTCCCTGAAAATCGCTTTAGCGGATTGTGCAAGGAAGGGGAATGTATTCTTGGTCTCTTACCAGTCAGCATTGATTTTGATGGTCAGGGTCAAGGCACCATAGAATCGTATGGTGGCTTCTCCATGATGAAGAAGGTCCAGAGCCAGTTGCCATGCTGACTTTTCTCGTTGAAGCCTCTGAATTTGTTTCTGGATTTCATTGATGCGCGCTGGTGACGGTTGATTAGTAGGTTGATAAAGTTCCCTTATCAACTGCTCCATGATATGTGCAACGCGGCAGCAAATAGTACATCCTGCTGCAAGCGCAGGAGAACAATTTCCAAGTGGTCAAGCTGCGTTTGCCGCCCTACTAGTGTGCCAGAAAACTGTAATGTGCCGTGACAGCATCAAGCGTGGAAGGTATGGCCTATACGAGGCATGGATCAACCTAGAGAGTCAAATGCCCACACGAGAGATCAATGCCTGAACTAGTCGAGGTCCTGCTCGGACATTCGCAATGTGTCCAGTGATTGCCGTATAACCCAAGCAGGCACAAAGAACCTTTAAAAATGCGTAAAAACAGACATTACGCTGTGAATGTGCGTCTGGTCTCTCTCAAGTGTCAAGCAAGTGGTTGAGCAAGTTGAAAGTGACATACGGGCAAAGCCTTGTGAAAAGGCGGATGGGACGAGGTTCAGGCACAAGAAAGTCGCAGGCTATCACGAGGCTGCAGCCTCGTCGGTAAAAGATATTCGGCACGCTTGCCTAGTTGGGCATAAGCCAATGCGTGCCATGGCACGAATCAAGTTGATACGCGTGACACGGCATAAAGACTGGTTTTGAGATAGCTCAGTGTGAATGGTCCTCTTCTCATAGTGCCTTCTTTTCAAATGCGCTGGCCGTTCCTCCGTCTCTCGTCTTTGCTGCGTACCACGTCGCCTCGACCGCAAATACCTACTGCAACCCTCACCCCTACACAATCTGTTCGGTCCTTTTCCTTCTCAAGATCGCAACGAAGCGTCGATATGGAAAAGGTGGATACCACGAAGCGTCTGTCGCAGCTGCGAGAATTGATGCGGAAGCATGAACTTGATATCTACATCGTCCCCTCGGAGGACAGTCACCAGTCGGAATACATTGCACCGTGCGATGCGAGGAGGGCCTACATCTCTGGCTTCACTGGATCCGCGGGCACGGCTGTCATTACACTTGAGAAAGCTGCCCTATCGACGGACGGGCGCTATTTCAATCAAGCTTCCAAGCAGCTCGATGAAAACTGGCTGCTGTTGAAGCAGGGCATGGAAGATGTCCCCACCTGGCAGGAATGGTGCGAACCCTTTGAGCGTTTATATGTGCAAGACTGAGCTGAGATTAGGACTACAGAGCAGGCACAAGGCGGCAAAACTGTCGGCGTCGACCCTACCGTGATTACAGCCATTGATGCTCGCAAACTCAGTGAAACACTGAAAAAGAAGTCACATGCAACCCTGGTCGGAGTTTCGCAGAACCTGGTCGATAAGATTTGGACAGACAGGCCACCTAGGCCGGCAGAGAAGGTTATTGTTCTCTCTGACAAATACGCAGGCAAGCCTTACGAACAGAAACTCGATGAGCTCCGCAAAGAGTTGAAGAAGAAGAAGGCAGTGGGAATGGTCGTATCAATGCTTGACGAGGTCGCCTGGCTTCTCAACCTCCGTGGCAGTGATATCCCGTATAACCCTGTGTTCTTCTCATATGCAACGGTTACACCGAGTTCGGCTACGCTGTATATCGATTCGGCCAAGCTAGACAACGAAGTGCGAGAACACCTCGATGGGACGGTCCAAATCAAACCTTACGATGACCTCTTTGGCGATCTCATGGGCATTGCCGAAACCGCAGTAAATGAGATTGAAGCTAACGGAGTTGCGAAACCCCGCTCCAGCAAGCTTCTGCTGTCGAACAAATCGTCTTGGGCGCTCTATCTCGGCTTAGGGGGCGAAGACAAGGTCGAAGAGTCTCGAAGTCCTCTTGCTGATGCGAAAGCCATCAAGAATTCCATCGAACTAGAAGGCATGCGGCAATGCCACATTCGTGATGGTGCTGCGCTGATTGAATATTTCGCCTGGCTAGAAGCAGAGCTACAGAGTGGATCGTGGCTCGATGAAGTACAGGCAGCAGATAAACTCGAAGCAATCAGGGCAAAGGGCGAGCATTTTGTCGGGTTATCCTTTGACACTATTTCATCAACGGGGCCGAACGCAGCCGTGATACACTACTCACCCGAGAGGGGCAATTGCTCGATAGTTGACGTGAATGCCGTCTATTTGTGTGATTCGGGAGCCCAATACCTCGACGGGACCACCGACACCACGAGGACATTACATTTCGGAACTCCCAGCGATATGGAAATCAAGGCATACACGTTGGTGCTCAAGGGCGTCATAGCTTTGGACCGAGCAGTCTTTCCCAAAGGCACCACAGGATTCGCCATCGACGTGTTCGCTCGCCAACATCTCTGGCGCGAGGGACTCGACTACCGCCACGGCACCGGCCACGGTGTGGGTTCTTTCCTCAATGTGCACGAAGGCCCCATCGGCATTGGCACGCGAGCCGCATACTCGGAAGTCTCACTCAGCATCGGCAACGTCATCTCCAACGAACCAGGCTACTACGAAGACGGCAACTTCGGCATTCGGATCGAGAATATGATGATGGCTCGCGAGGCCAAGACGAACCACAAGTTCGGAGACAAGCCCTGGATCGGGTTTGAGCATGTCACTCTGGTCCCCATGTGTAGGAAATTGATTGATCCCAGTCTTCTGGATTCGGAGGAGAAGGTCTGGTTGAACGAATATCATCAGGAAGTGTGGGAGAAGACCAGTGGGTTTTTTGAAAAGGACGAGAGAACCACAAGGTGGTTGAAGAGGGAGACTGCTCCGTTGTGATGAGGGAACACTGACATCTGAGACAACCCACGGTTGATGGAAAACTAGATTTTCCTGCGCCGCCTCGATGACCCAACAGCCTGGGCTCTGTTGTATTTGTATTCGGTGAGCAATTGTTCGAGCGCGTGGGGTTGGGAGGAAGAGAGAGCATATGGCCCTGGACTAGAAGAGATGGTAGAATAGGATAATAGAATCAAGGCTACCTATCGCGAGACGAACATGGTCTGCGTTCTCTATCGGGGCTATTGTACATGGCCCATGACAGGAAAAACGACTGCGGATATGTTGTTCTTCTCAAGTACCAGCCGCTATTACGGCTCCCGCTCCGCAAGCGATGGTGGCAGTGCTCAGAGCGATCGTCGTACGAGCCCTCTGCCTCTCAATCCTTTCAGTCCTCCTTTTCGCCTCGGCCGCCTTCTGTGGATCTGGTACGTATCCTAGCTTGTAGAAGACTCGAAGACGGTGACGCGGATGGAATGACTCCTCGCAATTACATCTGACGCGGCGCTCAAGGAGAACGAAGCGACGCTGACCGCGGGAATCGGGTGGCCGACTCGCCGGAGACGTGGAGCAGCCGCGGTTTGCGAGCTCTGGCGAACGCCATGATAGGCCCTTTTCAGTTCCGACAGCGGTCGAAGGCGTTTGTCCAGACTTTGGCAAGGCGCCCTTGACCGTCCAGTCTTGTCTATGAGGACGCTGTCGAAGGTAGTGTCGTACATCATGGATCAACTCGGGATGACATGAGGAGACGGGCTCAAGAGCCAACAAGCCAGCGGGCACGCTTTTGAAGACTCCAGTCGACTTGTCTGACGGGTAAATCTTGCCGACAATCTTGTACCGCGGAGTCATATTGGATCGGGAGTGGTCATCGTGGGATGTGGCTTGGCTTCTGTGGTGGCGTTTGCTCCTCTTGAACAACCGCCGGATGGGAGAGAAAGAGGACCATTTTCTAGGAGAGGCGGACGACAAGGTGGTTGTCGTATGAGACGACGAGGACGGCAGATCGTCCTGAAGCTCGCAGATCAGGAGTTTCTGCTCTTTCCGGAAGACTTTGCATTCCTCGCGCTCAATGTTCTTGCGATCCGGATGCCAGTGTTCTCTGTAGAGGTCTGGTGGTTCAATACCTAGAGTTCTTCTAACTGATTTATGAGGCATAATATTGATGTTAGTCGCAGTCAAATGGAGTCATCGAGGACAGCAGGATAAGCTCGATGGCCGTGGAATTCGCGAGGAAGGTGGCATCCAGACAGCGGAGGAGGGGGAGCAGCGGCGATGGTGAGAGAGAACTGAGATTGCATTCTTGTCGAAATGGATGTGCCAGCAGTGCCTCACACCGGCGATCTTCTGCACGAAGACACAAATAACGCTTACCTATGTCCTACCTTTCCAGGGAGAGCGGTGGTCGAGTGAGAGCATGGTGCTTTGATGGTATCAAGAGTGTCGTATCATATTGAGACTGAGCATGAAACAAAAGACATGTGAAAATAGGGAGAGTCACAACTCTTTCCAGCCTGTTGTAAGGGTACCAGTCCTAGGTGTGATGGAGGTGCAGAAAAGATCAGAAGTGTATCGATATGGTTGTCGTCGACAACCTAAGAGACGGTGACAGTAGCATATCGCGAGTCAACGGTTCTTTACGCAGTACCAGATAATCACGTGAAAATATTGATACCGTGGCGTATTACTTGATTCAAGCGCAAAATCTACTTGTCACGTGCAAGATGAAGAAATGCAAACCACATACAAACAATTTTACTCTCTGCATTTTACGGCCTCTGCACTGCCGTCCAAGGCAAGCAAAAGCGAAATTGAGAGGCCCGACATGGCAGATAGCAATCACGCAACCACACTCAATGTTGCCTACTTGGGACCTGAGGCATCATTCTCCCACCAAGCAGCCATTGAAGTCTTTCGAGCCTCATCGTCGTCTGGGCATACTATCTCTCTACACCCACTCCCCTCCTTCCCTGTCATTTTCTCGGCTATTCAAGCAACAGAAGCTTCTGAACAGACTATAAGCTACGATTTTGCAGTCGTCCCTTTCGAAAACAGCACCAATGGCTCTGTCGTTCCGGTCTTTGACTTATTAGCCCGGTGTGGCCATACCCCAATGCTCTATCCTGACTTGGAAGTCTGCGCGGAATATTATCTCCCTGTACACCATTGCTTGTTTGTCTCGCCTTCTCCAAGGTCAGCCACCACTTCATCCCAGTCTCTGTCAGACGAACACAAGGGGGACTTGTTACGTGCAATCCGGACACTGTACACGCATCCCCAAGTCTGGGGCCAATGTAACCGTTATTTGGCTAAACATTTTCCTCCCAACGTTGTGGAGCGCATTGATGTGGGAAGTACCTCTGCCGCTGCTCAGTTGGTGGCTCGAGAATCCCAACAGAAAAGCAAGACTCCGGTGACAGATGGGATCAGCGCTTCAATCAGCCCAAAAATCGCTGGTGAGAAGCATGACCTACTATGCTTAGCAGAGAACATAGAGGACGAGCCGGGGTTGAACACTACGAGATTTCTCGTCGTCCGCAACCGCAACCGCCAGACGCAGTCGGAAGATTTACACGCATCGTTATTTTTGCCCCGTAACCACGTCGACGATTCAAGATACAAGTCCCTGATATCATTCACCATCCCACACTCCAAACCAGGCAGTCTGGCCGATGCATTGGCCGTGTTCAAGCACTACGGGTTCAACCTAACGAGCATTGACACCCGACCAAGCAGGACGCGGACCTGGCAGTATGTGTTCTTTGTGGAGTGTGAGGAGGCAAACCCAGATCAACACAATCGTGCGGTTGCGGACGTGGGATTGGCTAGGGATGACGCACGGGGAGGACAGGAGGACAAGAATGGCAACTCCAACCTCATGAAGATGCTCAGTGAGCTCGGCAAGTTCACCGAGACTTTAAGATATCTAGGGAGATTTGTAGACCAATCACCTGGGAATCAGCAAGAAGACGAATCAAAGGCCTGACAGTGACGGAGTACAACTTGATCTGACTGAAGTGAATCGCATTCAAAAACCTTGTGAGCAGGTCTCGAAGAAAGAGTGACTATCTAAAATCCGTTTGCACTGAACAAAGTCTGTGTGGCCCGCGGCTGCTATTTGCTGTTAAGATGTTTCGAGCTACAGGGTTATCGACTGTGATCCCTTCGAGGAACACGGACCGACTCGTTAATCTCGGACACAGCAAATTGAAGCCTGAGAGCGAACTTCCGGTGAGGACAAAACAAAAGTTGAGCTTGATGTTCAACGAATGACCAGCTCAATCGCATAAAAAACCAATATCGCAAAGCATTCAACTCCATCGTTCGGAGTGATGCGAGAGCTTCTTGCGTCTCTGGTGCGTGCCACACTCTCCTTTCTGTGCGGCGAGTAAAGTCGGACGCTCGCTCATTTGTCGGTGTACGCGGTTGTCTGAGACATTGATTGTGACGTTGGGCTTAAATCAGATCCGATCCTCTCGTGTCAGCGGCTCAGTTGGACTGACGACCACTGCGCTGGCTGTCGAAGAAGATGACGAAGATTGTGGGATCTGAAAGCCGTGGCCAGTTCAGACCATGGCCATGTTCCGAAGGTTGGAACGTCCTGTGATCGGTCCCAAGTCAGATGTCAAGAAGTCTCTTAGTGGGTTGTAGATGATGCCTTACCGTGGCGTAGGTCGAGGGTCTGCCTTGCTGGCGGCTTCATTGCTCGCTCAGCGCGCGTGAAGGCACTGTCCTTGGTGCCCAATCCGTTTAGTCGAATCAATTGTGGCTTGCCGTTGGTGTAAGCACTTTCCAGATGCGTCCCTGCTTGCTGCGGCTGGGACTTTGGGGCGTCGCGAGGACGCTCAGGAGAGCGCGGAGCTGCCGTCAAGCTGCCGTCAACAAACTTGGGTGGTTGTTGGACAAGGCCTGGAGATGGATGCTCCTCGCGCTCTCCTGCGAGGTCGTTGAATTGTCAATCATCATAGAATTCGTCTTCGTCATCAGCGTCAATCAACTGCTCAAAGTTGACCTTGTAGCGCAAAATGGCACCAATACCACCAAATCCCTTCACGAATTGATTGCCCTCGCTGGAGCGATCCGAAACGAACTCTAGGGTGGCGCCAAAGTCCTTGTATTTCTCGGCGAGCCATTCAAGAAACGAGCTTTGGTCAACCACCTCCATTTCTTGACCGGTCTCCTTGTCCATGAATTGTTCGCGATTGGCTTCTTGAGCCTTGGTGGTATGCAGAATCCTCTCTGAGCCGTCCGAGGCCTTCAGAACCCAGCGAGTCACGTCCAAATTCTCGTAAACAATCAGTGTTTCGGCCGCACCAAGTTCGAGAGCTTTCAATGTGTCTTCGACACCATAGCAGACACGACCGCTGTCTTGACTGATTTCCTCGAAATACTTGCCAATCAATTTCTTCTCTTGAATGAACTTGACATTACCAAGAGTCTCGGAGGCGAGATCGATGGCTTGATTGAATCCATTTTCACCACCATACGACACGTCGACTACCTTGATGACTTTTGCTTGAAGACGTGCGTCGAACATGTCGGACTGATTCAAGTCATTTTTGAAGTCGGCGGAACCGGCAAGGACGAGGCCCGCAACGTTGACCTTGTCGTTTGTGATGAAGTTCTGAACAGCCAACTCTGCGACTTTTCGCACATAATTGTGTCGCTTTTCTTCTCTGAGACGGGCGAAACGTAGGGCAGACTGACCACCTCGACCGTGCTTCTTGGGCAGATCGACGGAAAATTTGTGAACGACTTCTCGGGTGTTGCCGCTCAGAGTCCCAAAGAGAGCGCCGTTGCCGTCCATGACGATGAAGCCAAATTTCTGGTCAGACTCGAGGAGTTCGCTTAGGGCCTCAGTGTGAAATTTGTTGTCGCAGAGGTAGAGAGAGGTGTTGATGGGCTTGAAAGGCTCAAAATCTATGTTGATCTTTCTTTCTTTTCCTTCCGAGGTTATGATTTCACCGCAGTATACCACCAAGCCATTCGGAGGAACCTTGGAGTACAACTTCAGACGCTGTTGGGTGGAAGTGATAGCGGAGAGGACCGAGAGACGGTTGACGCGAGACTTGATGTTGGAGGCAGTGCCGAATTCTTCAGCCAACATTTTGGCAGCGCGAGAGACTTGATCCTTGGGTGCTATGGACGAGTCAGTGGTGAGCCAGAAGATGTACAGTCATTATAGGTGCCGACTCACGGATAATGAGGGAGATCATTGAGGTGCCATTGCCCCTGGCCGCTTCGAGGCGTTTGATAAGTTTCTTGACCTTCCAGATCTCGATATTCTTTTCCGCTTCGTTTTGCTGAGGTGCGCTCATTTTTGCGGGCGGAAACCGAGCAGAGACGTGCCTGCTGGTGGTGGGAAACGGTGCACAATGGTAGAAAGTAAGCAAAAGGGAGAAGCAGGCGAAGGAGTGTTTTGAAATCTGAGTCTATGTCGAGCGAGAAAACCAAGGGTGGCGTTGAAATAATGTCAATACTTTGGAGACGAGCGGTCGTCCAGTGGGAGTGGTGGTGGGCTGGCTGGCTAGGCGGTGCTGTGCTGGCAGTCCAGTAGTTTAGGCACTGGAATGGCGGTGCTGCCCACCTATGATTTGGGTAAAGCGGGCCCGCCTGGCCTACAATTGTTTGGCTCGGTAGTGTGTTCCAAGCGCTGCGAGTCATGTCCAGTCCTGGATGAGTCACGTGAATCTCCCGTTACCGTTATCAAGCAGAAACTTCCCCCGCCGCCACCAAACTGCGATTCCGCTCCACTTTGCCCACTGGCTATCAAGAAACAGCTTCCTTGGGTTTCGCCGCTGCTGGTTATCGTCGGTTAAGAATGAATGTTTCCATGATCTACCACTAGCTCATGATTTGAAGTAGATTGCCTATCCTTCAGAATCTGAAGAATTCGTTCTCTCCTCTGGTCCCGAATTTCTCTTCGTTGAAGAACTGCTTGTACTCGGTATTATTGTCCGCCTAAGCCCAGGAGGTTTCGTGGATTGTTGTGTCTGTTTACTGTGTATCTCAAGAGCTTTACGAGACATGATTTGACACGACAGATTGTGAACCCAGATTCCTAACGTCATTCCTACACCTCTGAATCTTTACTCCCTGCCCTCTGCTCGCCATGAGCTCGAAACCTAGACAGGCTCCCACAAGTTGGGATGCATACGAGCGTGGTCGTGCGTCGTCCTTCGGTTCCCTCGAGTCTGTGCCCGAAGACGAGCAGCAGAACAATCTCTCCTCGTCTACCCCAGCAGCACACCGTTTCCCATCGGAGAGCCAAGAGCATGGAGGATTGCGACGCAGATCATCGTTTGGCAAGAGAATTGATCAGTTCATGCAGATGGGTGGACCCAATAGTATCGACAATTTTGCAAAGTCGTTCCAAAGAGCTGCAGGGTTTCGTGAAATCACGCCGGTGCGGAGGAACTCGATCAGCTTCTCGGAAACCGATCAAGAGGCAGCTCCAGGTGCTCCTGAACAGAGTACGGCGGCGGCCAATAGGTCACTTCTGAGACAGCAGCTGCAAGAATATGATTTTGGTGCCGAAAACGAGTCAGCCCTACAGGATGAACGGGCGCCAGGCAATCAAGAGCCGACAGAAGAGTCTGCTCTCTTGCCTACTGAAAGCAGGCAAACCCTCAAATCCACGACAGGCTCTCTCGTCCCAGGCTCGTTACTGCCGAATGAGCTGGGCACAAGCTATGGAAGTATCTCTTCGAAGTTGACAGCTACTGCTCGGCAACGAGCGACCATCCTTATAATGGAGCAGGAAGAAGCCAGCAGGAGAGCACTGCAGGAGCCAGAAGCATTGAAGGAAGAACCTCAACGACACATTGAACGGGAAGTCCTCCCCGATGGTGAAGTCATGGAGCGAATAGTCGGCGAGTCAACCGTTCCTATGACCGTCTTCAACTCCACGAATGTGTTGATTGGAGTTGGCATCCTGGCCCTGCCACTGGGTATCAGGTACTCCGGATGGGTGATCGGTCTCTCCTTCTTGACTCTTGCTGCCATCGGCACCTCATACACCGCTAGATTGTTGGCAAAGTGCTTGGATTCAAACACGGGCTCAACCACGTACGGAGACATCGCTTACTTGGCGTTTGATACTTGGGGCAGACACTTTGTTGAGGCCTTGTTCATCTTGGAGCTGACGGCTGCAAATGTCGCCCTGATTATTCTGTTTGCGGACAGTATGAACTCTCTGATCCCTAGTGTCTCCGTGATCGAGTGGAAGGTCATTATTGCTGTTGCTCTCATACCGTTGAATTTTGTTCCTTTCAGAACCCTGAGTGTCACCAGCGTCATTGGCATCTTCTGCTGTCTCGGCATCATCATTATTGTCTTTGCAGATGGCCTCATCAAGCCCAATGCCCCTGGTTCTTTGAGGGACGTGGCTCAAACCTGGGCGTTCCCCGAAGACTGGAGGACTGTTCCGCTCAGCCTGGGTCTATTCATGGCACCGTGGGGTGGTCATAGCGTCTTCCCGGCCATATACAAGGACATGCGACATCCACATAAATACGGACGAGCTTTGAAGTATACCTACTTCTTCACCTACGGTCTTGACCTGTCTATGGCTGTGCTGGGGTATCTCATGTTCGGCGACAAGGTACGCGATGAAGTGACCTCTAACATCCTCCGCTCGACCGCCTACCCTCACGTCCTATCCGTCATCATCGTCATTCTTATCGCCATCATCCCTATCACCAAGATTCCACTTTCAAACCGGCCCGTGATGGATACGCTCAATAAAAAGCTCTACATCGACCTCCGCCAGATGGATCCCAAGGCGCGCGCATACAGTGAGCGGTCGCTGAAACACCGCGCCGCCCGAGGCCTCATTGGTATATTGGCCAACATCATCCAACTTGGCATCGCTGTTGGTTTTCCGGATTTTGACAGCATCATGGCTCTTATGGGGTCGGCTTTGTGTTTTACCATCTGCATCATCCTGCCCGTCAGCTTTTATCTGGTCATTTTTAGCTCCGAGGGCAAGGAGATTGGGCTGGCCGAGAAGATCCTCGACTGGATCTTGTTGGTGGTTTGTATCACCCTGGCGGTGTTGGGGACTGTATTTGCTATTTTGCCCAAGCACAAGATTGGGGCTTCGGTTTGACGATCTGCAATCAGTAAAAACAGAGATACTTTTTGAGGATAGGGATATTGGGAGAGGAAATTTTCGACAGACAGCCTTGTAAATTTTTCATGGCCTGGGAGGGATTGTCGTCTTGCCAGATAATTGATAATAATACACTTGTATATAAAGACAGGAGCATGTCATCCGCTGCCAGAAACCCATTTCCAAGAGTGTGTTGACAGCCGTGTAGGAACCTCGCATACCAGTCTATACAGTCTCCATGACATGGGCGTGAGATACTTTGATTCTTTTTTTTTTTGGTTTTCCGAGGTCAAATGGTAAACTAACCGATTCCCCACGCTTTCCACCCCGATGCGTTTCTCCCCTCAATTCTAGTTTGACTTTCCCCCCGAGATGGCGAAGCCACTGGGGTTCTGGCTCAAGAACTCGAGCTCCTCGGGCGTGCTCTCCCGGCCCAGCGCGGCGTTCCGACTGGGGAACCTGCCGAAGCGCAGAATGACGTCGCGGTGCGCCTTTGCAAAGTTGCACGAGCTCTTCACGAACTTGTTGGCTTCCTCGACCGCCACGGCCGCGCGGGGCGAGGTGGCCGTGAAGGACCCCGCGAGGCAGCGCGTAGAGAGGTTGTTCAACAGCGAAATCCCCGCGACCTGGTGGGCGAGGCTCTCGGCGTGCATCAGCGGCATGTAGAAGAACATGGCCATGAGCGGCGTCAGATCTGGCGAATGGTCGAATTCTCTGGCGATCGACACCACAGCGAGGTCCAGGGCCTTTGCGTCCGATGAGAATGACAGGCCCGAACCGCGGTAGATATTGCGCGGGAACTGGTCGAGGAGGACGATCAGGGCGAGGGAGCCTAGCGGGGTCGAGCGCCACGAGTCGAGCGAGTCATTGCGCGCCTGCTCGACCAGCGACGAGAACTGCGTTCGGATCTCCGAGTCGACGAGCTCCGCGTCCGGAGGCATGAACCACTTCTCGGTCGGATTGCTGTCGGGCGATGACGGCGGCGGGAACCAGTAGTCGAGCACGCGGGCGATTTCGCCTTGGTGTTCCGTGGATATTGCTGGCATGGTCTGGACGGCAGAGGTGGCGTTGGTGGAATAGAACCAGGGCGCGACGAACCCCTGGAACGCGGATTGAAGCTGGAGAACCTTTGTCGGACAAGAGGGACGAGGCAGCCGACGGTTTAGCACGTGTAGACGCCTCCGTGAAACAGGAACCGGGCGAAAAGAGGAGTTTCGTGGGGCATGTAGATGTGGACGTAGAGACAGAGGAGAAGCTGGGAGACGGCGTACCCTGGCAAAGGCCTGATCAAGGGCGGCCTTCATTTGATTGATGGTAGTTGATCAAATCGACGTCTTCAAGTTTAATCAGAGTCTCAATTCGACGGTGTTCGGTTCAGACAGGGGTTATAAGCATTCGCGAAGCTTGGGCCTATAGTAAGAACTTGTTTTGCTTGGGTGAAGTCGAATGCACCTCGTAAACAAAGACACCAAGACAACATGTCCGAATCTCTCTCGAACGTCATCAGGCTGACATTCCACCACAAGGCTGACCAATCAAGTCCGGTATCTACTTTCACGTGATTTTGAAGATAGCACACGTGATATGAAAGGCTGTCTTGCAACAACCTTCGGACCATCAGTGAATAGAGGCTTGACGTGGTCCAGATAGTATTGGTGAAGGTGTCAACGGCCATATGGCACTGGGAAACGTTGAGCATAAGCCAGCTTCGTGACAGACAAAGTGCACTGTTCCTCCCATGGCGATACCATAATGGTTCGTATCTAATGTGCTTTCTAGAAATGCGTGCAATCTGCGGTAGCGACTGTGAACACATCAACAAGCTGTGACTTCCAGAAAAGCAAAAGTGAACACAGACAGTAACCAAGACTCCGTGCTCCATGCTCCATGCTAACAATGTAGAGCTCTCCAAAACTGTTATCTTGCAACAAAGCGAGGCTGTACATCTTTACCAGGTACCCGGGTCCATGTAGAACCCACACCTTTTTTGCATTTACAGGTTAACATCGTGAAGCCAGACCTGTTGCTCGACTCGGTGGGAGAACCGACTGGCAGCAAGGATCTCGACCATCTGCTGCTCACTGACAAGCAGCTCCTGCTTAGGGATGAACCATCGCAAACCCTCGCTACAAGGTGGGGTGGTTAAGCTGCCCTTGTAGGTCCAAAACTCCTCGACACCTCCGACCTCATCGATAGCGAGACGCATATTGACGGGCAAGCCTTCGAGTTGCGCTGTGTCGTTGAAATGGATCATTGGGCCCAGCTGCTTGATGAATGCAGATTCCGTGTGACCCACTCCCACCCGAATGCCAACGACGGCGGCTTCGTGGTCGTCCTCGGTGACATGAACGAGATGAATCTCTGCGCGGCTTCGCTTGCCGCCAATGAGGTGCTCCGATGGGGCGTGAATGTGCCATCCAATCATGAAGACCTCTTGATCGTCAAACTTCAAGCTGGGGAGGCCGGTGACCTCTTCCTCTGGATGATGAGGTGTCCAGGCTGGTGCAAACTCCCAGTTGAAGAAGTTGCCCGGAATAGCGGTGTTTGTGTACCCTTCGAAGTTGGGTTTGTGAAATTGGGATAGTTCCGTTAGGGCAATGTTGATAGGCGATTGATGGGTACCAGACTGACACAGAGCGTATTCTGCAGGAAACGTCAGCAAGGCTGGCAGCTAGAGGGGTAACATGAGTATTACCGGGTTTGATGGTCGCCCAGTCTGCAGACAGTGCATAATTCCAGTCTTTTGGTTCCCTGCCAGTGTCGACTCGGACTTGTCTTCGTCCGAGATGAGGATGGGATTGGTAATTTTCATGCTTTGGACAGCTCCAGGCTGTTGTGATGAAAGTGCAAAGGTAGAGAAGGGAAGAAGTGGAAGCCAACGACAACATGCTGAAATAAACCAGTGAGATAGAACGACCGCTATTGCAACGAGTAACAGATATAAAAAAATATAAGATAGCTGTAATTGCACTGACAAAGGAAAGACGATATGGGTATGCCGGAGTGTAAAGGTCTGATGAGTCTCTTGATGTGGGGAAATGGCTTCTCTTTTATGTGGCCATTGAGGCCAGCGATAATGGGGACACGGATGTGAGAAGTCCGTCTCTTCGCAGCCTACCAAGTACTCCCTAAAGGCACACGGAGACGCCAAGTGATCGCTTGTTCCAGCAGCGTAATGCATCGTCTCTGCTGAAACGCCTGCAGAGATACTGACATCGACGTCGCGCTTGGAGAATACGAGTATGTAACCATTCTCATGAAAGGCTGACAATAAGGGCGGCTCAGCGTTGAGGGCGGGCAAGGCGCGCTGCACTGCATATTGCCCAAGCCCTATATGAAGTCTTGGGACCAAAGTCAACGGTGACCGAGGCTTCCGCAAAGGAAGCGCCCCTGTTGATGAGGTAAGGACAAGAATGGCGGTGTATGACAAGCACGGTAAGCCATAACAAAGATTGTGAAAAGCATCCAACGGCGACCTCGGCGCCAAGCTATATCAGACAGCCAAGTCGACCCGGAACGCTGCGCTGGGCCCAAGAAAGTAAAGCGCCGCTCGTCCACATAATCTCGTTGCCACTCGTCGTAGTTCAGGGGCCTAACGCGTGGCTGTCGGCCATTGATGGATGGTCCGCAGTCGACGCAAACAGGACAACCAAGACTCTCCAAGAAATGACCAAGTGGTGAATGCTAAATTGAGCTCGGTCCTTGTAAGAGAAGCTGAAAGGTCCAGACACTCGTATATGACGCTCCCTGCTGCCCAGCCTTCCTCTCCGACCGAATTGAGCCCACATCTGACAAAAGATGAGGCATCACCGAAGCAGGAGGTGCTGGGCGGGTAACCTCACCGAGTTCTGCGCAGGATCCTTCCTCAATTATTCCTGTCATGGCATTCCGGTAGCTTCAAGCGTCATAGGCAGGGGTGCACCATCGGATTGGCAAAAGACGTTTTCAGCAAACGGCGGCTTTCCAGGCCCCGAATAATCGTCCTCGTAGATTGCAAGTTGACCATTTTCGAAGACACTCATGTCGATCGCTCGATAATAATCCTACTATTAGGATGACTACTCGTAGAGATATGCGGTAAGGGCGCGAACTAGTCGGACGCGATGCCTGTTCTGTATAACTAGCGACAATGGCAACGGGGCCATATCCATATGAGTAGGCTGGAGCGTGCCATGACGGGGTATCTCCATAGTACTCCATAGGATGCCTTTTGGTCGGGTTCCGTAGGCCGAACATACGAGTATATTATTATCTCAGATATTGACTTTTTGTGTTTATCCCCCTGTTTTGTTCACGATAGAGCTTCCTGTGCTTCAGGAGGTTGTGGTTCAAAGGCCCGAAAGCCGGCGACAAATAAGGGAAAGCATTGCATTTCTGCCCCTGTACCATGAACTCGTAGGCATCGTGGGCACTCGTTGGGCTTCTTTTCCGATTCCTCGTAGGAGCGTCGAAGAACTTCGAGCTGTACAGCGTTGTAATTTTGAGCAAGATCCAAAATCGGTAGACCTGCGGGATGGATGGTGTAACTGGTCGAGCCAGCTTTGAAAGCAGACACCGAAGATAGTTAAACGCCATATAGGGAAACTCTGCCGAGACAAGGCGCAAGGCTTCAGCCTCGTCCCTCCTTCATACTGACTTTAATGCTAGCATGTAACATTCCTCGGCCATAACTAGGGTGAGATATATACAAGTTGCATCATTTTGTTCACTGGGACTGGAAGTGTATCTTCAGAATAGCGGGCTCTGCCTGAGATGTTTGAAGAGGTATTTGCAAGACCGGCTTCCTCTGACCTAGCTCCCTTCGCAATTCGCAATCATTGCTCAATTAGTCAACGTAGCGTTACAAGTCAGTCCTGTAACATTCTTCGCGTTGACACAGGTCGTGTTGGCATTCGCTTTGGTGACTGCATCTGTCAGGTGGACATCCTTAAAGTCGATGTTTGAACATGGCGCCGCTGCTGAACAGTTCAATGCGATTCCAACCTTACTGCTAACGGTTCCCGAGACATCAGAGAACAGCAGGTTCTCAAATTCAAGAGTACTGGTGTCGCAGTAATGAGCCTGGTCGGGCACCTTGAAGTAGCATTTGTTAATGAAGACGGCCTGGCTAGTGTTGTGAGTTGTCAGTCCTGTAAACGTCACATTGGAAACTTTCCCCGTGCCGCCACCACCGCCTTGTGGAGGTTGTCCCTCTTCTTTGCCGACCCAAGACTTGAAGTAGGCTCCGCCGGCTACTGCAGCCCCCCCGGTGCGTGGATTGATGTCTTGTGAGACTGAGATATTGGTGGCCGTCACATTGAAAATGTAGTCTGGCGAGTCAACGTATTGCCCGATTGAGCCGAAAGCAATTCCGCCACCAACGCAGGTCATATTTTTGATCACCATATTGGTCGTGTTTCCTTTCGGGGCCAGACAATCATCTCCCCCATGGAATTGCCAATCTCTTACCAGAAGGTGGTCAACTCGTAATGAATCGAGGCCATCAATGTTTGTTTCGTAGTTGGAAGAATTGCCGTAGGGATCTGTATTGGTACCATTGATATACACCTTGCTGATCTCAACATTGTAGGAGTCTTGGATCCAAAAACTCCAGAACATCGGCTGGCGTATGGCAAAGTTGGTCACAATCACATTAGAGGAATTGAAAATCGAAATCACAATTGGGCGGCCAAACTGGTTGCTGTGCCCGGCAGCATGGGTCATCCATGCCTGTCCATTGCCATTGACACCGCCCTGCATCCACCCTCCCCCGTCGATTTCAAAGTTGTTGCCTTCAATAATCCACCCCGTAGACTGATTCTGAAACTCAACACGGAAGGAGTTGTCAATCCAGTAAGTCAAGTCTGGAGTGAAAGAGAGAGTCCCAAAAATTTCCAAGCGGGAATTCTGGAGCTTCATGTACATCCGCTTTGAAATCGTGTAGACATACGGAGCCGGAAGTGTAATGGTCCCATTGATACCGCATTTTTGGACAGCCGCAAGAATCTGAGACGAATCGTCTTGACCCCAGCCCAAAGGTGTCACGACGCATTTGAGTTCGCTCGGAGACGGTGAGCGTGGGAAAACCGCCTCGACGGGAGCCTGTCCGAGGTATGGATAGGAAGCATTCTTGTGGTAGGGAAGCGTTGTTTGAGGCGAAGATACGGAAGTGGTAGCCGCTTGAGGGAAGTAAACGATTGAGGAACTGTCAGCAAAGGCAAACGGCACGTATCTAAGAGAGCACAGGAGAGTAAATGCCTGTGAGAACATGACGTTTAGAGATCACAACTTATCCCCAGGCAATTCTAATCAGACTGTTTCTTACACATTCCCGGGTTGTTGTAGCCTACCTGAGTCTGAGCGAGCACAGTCGCGATATATATGTTCCCATTTTTTCATGCAGGTTCAAGAACACATGTCGGAGGACGAGGTTGCACTTGGAGGTTGCTGGATACATTATCAAAGCAAAGGGTCCGTGGGTGCCGGGCACCCATCAGACGAATCAAGGAGGGATTGACAACCCACGTGCTTCTCGTAGCAATGGTAGATCTTTGAATATAGGATGATGTACCGGGGAGAAGTAGGACTTAAAGACGTCGGCTGACTGCATCCTTGCCGTGTCTGAGGACGGTGAGCCCGTACTACTTGTATGCGAACAAGCATTAGAAGCTTTTCGCGAGCACAAAAGGGGAACCGAGGTCGTGAAGATGATGGAGTCAGCAGAGGACAATGTTGAATAAGGCGGCATGATATACTTTGTGTGTGAGCAGGGCAGGCGTGGGGGGGTCAGAGCCTCTACTGAGTACTCGGTACAACCTCGGGAGATATATACAAAGCGGCATCAATATCGGCCCAAATTCAGCAACTTCTTGGCGGTCTCCGAAACCGCTTGGTTTGTGAGTCCTCCACCTCCTGCGCTGACCCAAAATTTTTGATACAGAGCTTGTCCCTCTGTATTGTTGTGACTCATCCTTCGAAGTGATACAACATGTTCAAGTCTCACTGACCTTGATGAAGTAGTACTTACTTGTCTGCCGCATACGCCCTTCTTCTGCCGCCATCATGGCAGGCAGGCGCAACCTCCTATCTCTTGCATGCAGGGCTACGAAACACTCTCAACGAGCGCAAACCGGGACCTCTTTCCTCGAATCTGTTCTCCCTGCTTCGAGACGAGCCAAAAGCACGAATTCAACCTCAGCTCTAGCGTATAAGGCTCTCCACAGAAGGTCACCCCTTCCATTGCCGGTGTCAGACACTTCTCCCCAATATGGCGCCGCCGCAGCTGTGTCCTCCATCCTCTACGAAACCCCGGTCGCATCTCAAGCGCCGCCCAAGAAACACATCCTGAACTGCCTGGTTCAGAACGAGCCCGGTGTCTTGTCCCGCGTCTCCGGCATCTTAGCGGCCAGGGGATTCAATATTGACTCTCTGGTCGTGTGCAACACCGAGGTAGAGGACCTGAGTCGGATGACCATCGTGTTGCAAGGACAAGATGGTGTTGTTGAACAAGCCCGCAGGCAGCTAGAGGATTTGGTACCTGTGTGGGCTGTGCTGGACTACACATCTGCCGCCCTGGTGCAGCGCGAGTTACTTCTGGCTAAAATCTCTATTCTGGGCCCCGAGGTGTACGAAGAACTGATGGAGCACCATCGCGAGATGACCAGCCCCGATTCTGACCAAGGCCCAGCGGATGTGGAAAATGCCGAGGAGAACGCAGACAAGAGGTTGCAGGAGTTGGAATCAAATAAGCCTGAAGAGCCATCTTTGGTGCAACGAGCGAAAGAGATGCTCGGTCAAGGCGCCAGCTACCATCCCAGCCGTCTTGCTGCCAGTCAAGCTTTGCGACACAAGCATGAACATCTCGAAGCCATCACCCATTTGACTCACCAGTTTGGTGGAAAGGTCCTGGATATCAGCACGAACAATTGCATCGTGGAAATGTCAGTGTCTGCTGTTGATTTATTTAGTGTTTTAAAGCGCTAACGTGAGAGAACAGCTCTGCAAAACCAAGCCGAATCGACTCCTTCATGAAGCTGGTTTCCCCTTTCGGTATTCTCGAGTCAACTCGAACGGGGCTGATGGCCCTGCCTCGATCACCTCTTTATGACCCCAATGAGGAGCACACACGGGAGGCTGATGATGTGGTTGATGCTAGCACTCTGCCTCCTGGTTAGTTATCTACATATGTTACCATCATGTTGGAATAGCGTCAGGCGCCCCTTGACATGAGGATGCTTTCTTGATTTTGGAGTAGGTAGGCTATTCTTGATCACATACTGTGGATCGTGTGAGTTCAAGCATTTTGAGGGACTGATGTTGCGGTAAGGTGGATGGCGGCGGTGATACCATTGTGAAATGGTGTTTTTGAGGCATGCGATATTAGTCTCCAAAGCTGAACTTGTTGGTCTTGAATAATGCAAAATCCATTACCCTGTGCCGGGTACATACCCTCATATTCACATGAAGTATATACCCAATGGTGATGCAGGCTAGACCCTGAGCCTCGTCTTTGTTGTCGTTCTTGTTCCCCTGACGATCAATGACAAAAATTTCCTCCATTCTGATGAGCCGCTCGATGCAGCGTGCTGTCACTGCAATCGCCGGTGGGGAGACACTGGCCATTGGATGGTAGTGAGGTTGCCGCCAGTGTTGTTTCTCGCAAGGGTTGTTGATGCTGGCCTGCACCTGGAGGGCATAATGATGCACTGGGAACCTGGGGTTCTCTATTCATATTCAGATATCCTGAAGGTTGAGTTGGGAGGTAGTCGCTGGCACACTGGCTCGAGTCAGAAGAAACGCATAGAAGCCACATCGTTGTCTTCGGTGGAGTAAATGACTAACGTTACCGCAACCTGCATGACCATCGTCACCACTTACTATCACAGTAAATACAACGCCGGTGCTTGCAGCCTCGACGCAGCCTTAGAATTATTTTGATTCCTTGATTCCTCTCATGAGTCCCAGTGGACCAAGTATGGCGTCCTATTTGGCAGATCTACCCTCGCCGGGCGACTTCTTTCCTCCGACACCGCAAGCAGCCAAGTTGTCCCTCGATATCTTCAGACTATACATTCCCGTAAGTGTACTATGCTCGCTGTCATTGTTCGTATTTGGCGACTATTGCAGAAGCCCGGACCAAAGGGGGAAAAAAAAAAAAAAAAAAAAAGAAATGAAACGGGAGTCCCTTGCTGACGAGAGCTCACGCTTCTACATAGGTTTCCCTCGTGCTATGGACACCCTTAAAAAAGCTACAGGCGATGGGCAAGACCTCGTCCAACTCTCGCCTGAGTCTTCCTGGTTGCTATGCCTGGGCGGTTGCGGAACTGGTTGGGCCGATCAATCTGCTCTACATTCTCTACAGTCTGCCAGATCGAGTCCGGCCCCGGCCACAAGCTGCGACGAGCTTCTTAGGCACAGGCTTGCCTGCCCAGAACGAGATATTGGCGTGCTTGTATCTCCTTCACTACGTTAACCGCGCCCTTGTCAGCCCGCTTTACCTGAACCCGAGCATGTCGCCCATCCATCCGTTTGTTACGGCGTTCATGGGTATCTTTCAGTTTACGAACTCGACAAACATTGGGTGCTGGCTTGTGTACTCGACACTGACTGCCAATACCGAGAGTCACGCCGTCGTCTCTTTCAGTTCGGCTCTCGGGATCCTGTTCTTTCTGCTGGGGTTAGCTGGCAATATCTGGGCAGAAACGACACTGTATGATCTACGACGTGGAGCTGCTAAGAGGAAAGCCAAGTCAGAGGGCAAAGCGACGGTTAGCTACGACAAGGTCTATGTGATTCCTCCCGCTCAAGGAGCTTTCAAGTATATCTTGCACCCACATTACGTCCTTGAGTGGCTCGAATGGACGGGTTACTGGTTGCTTGGAGGTGTATGGGGATTGGGATGGGGCGGTGAGAGTGCCGCTCTCTGGTTTGTGATCTGTGAGGTTGTGACAATGCTTCCTCGAGCAGTGACTGGCCGACAATGGTATGAAGACAAGTTTGGCAAGCGAGCTGTCGGAGGGCGCGCGGGAGCAATCCCTGGGCCTATCAGGCTGTGACGAAGAGAAGAGTCTCAATACTTGTACATGAACACGATCAGAACTGTTTAGTCGAGACTGGAGCGGTAAGACGACAGGGTATTTGCTTGTGCGGGCGTTTACGAGAGCCACTCATAGCGCAGGCGTCAAGTCAAGCTCATGTACCTCGTAGTCTGGAGTGTTTGCTCATAGATGGCGTGATTGATGGGGATGCTCGGGTGGGCAGGAACACTCAGCAGAGGGCAAAGAGGGTCAGGGAAAGTATATTTGGGTCTCACTTGCTGCTCAGTGGCACACGGTGACTTTTCGTAGTTTATGCAGGGCGAGCGAATCTCGGAGAGCCATGGCGGCGTGGGCGGCCAAACAGACCAACACAAGCATCCGCGCATCCCACCATCAGCCACTAAAAACGGTAGCCGCCTTGTGTCACTGATGGTGGCCCTGGCAGCATTTTGAATTTTTTTCCTCATTAACTCTCCTTCTCGGGCTCAGGTCACTTTCTCACCGCCCTCATCTCCTCCTCTTCATTTTCTCTTGTCTTGTCAACTGCCTTTCAGCACATCCTGAGGACGTATTGGAGGGTTGCTGTCCGGACTGTTGCCTTCAAATCTCAACCCAGTTTCACCCGGGTATCTACAAAGATGGTTCAATCGTAAGTTGAACACACAATGTCGCCCAATGAGTAACTCAGCTGCTGATTGTGTGACAGCTCCATTCTCGGTTTCCCTCGCATGGGAGTCAACCGTGACCTCAAGAAAGCTACCGAAGCATACTGGGGGGGCAAGATCTCGCAGGATGAGCTACTTGCCGAGGGAAAGAGATTGAGACTGGCACACTGGAAGATTCAGAAAGATGCTGGCATTGATATCATCCCAAGCAATGACTTTGCCTTCTACGACCAGGTCCTCGACCACATCGAGCTCTTTGGGGTGGTTCCAGAGCGGTACACAAAGTACAACTTGGCTCCCCTTGACGAGTACTTTGCCATGGGTCGAGGTCTCCAGAGGCCTGCCACCGACAGCTCCCCCGCAGTCGATGTGCCCTCTCTGGTGAGGAAATCTCCATTGATTGTCGTCAGGCCTTTGTTAATCTGTACAACAGGAAATGGTCAAATGGTTTGACTCAAACTACCACTACGTCAAGCCCACTCTCCAAGACAACCAGGTCTTCAAGCTGTCCTCAAAGCCCAAGCCCGTTGTTGAGTTCCTCGAAGCCAAAGAAGCTGGCATCATCACCCGTCCCGTCATCCTCGGTCCCGTTTCTTTCCTATATCTTGGCAAAGCAGACCGTGGTCAAACCATCGAACCGATCTCCGCCTTGGACAAGCTTCTTCCTCTATATGTGGATCTGCTCAAGCAGTTGAAAGATGCTGGTGCCGAGTCCGTCCAGATTGATGAGCCCGTCCTGGTCTTTGATTTGCCCCCGCACGTCAAGGAGGCCTTCAAGCCGGCGTATGAGAAGCTCGGTGGACTTGGAAGCAGCGCCCCGAAAATCGTGCTTGCAACCTACTTTGGCGACATTGTGCACAACATCGGCGTTCTCAGCTACCTAAAGCACCTCTATGCTATCCACATTGATCTCGTACGAAATCCCGAGCAACTCGAAACTGTCACCTCTGCCTTGGGTCCTCAACAGGTTCTGTCGGCTGGTGTTGTTGATGGCCGTAACATCTGGAAAACCAATTTCAAGAAGGCCATTGAGATCGTGGAGACTGCCATTCAGAAACTCGGCAAGGACAGAGTCATCGTTGCCAGCTCTAGCTCTCTCCTGCATACTCCCCACACTCTCGCCAGTGAGAAGACCTTGGACCCTGAGATTGCCGACTGGTTCAGCTTTGCTTGTGAGAAAGCCAAGGAACTTGCTATCATCGCAAAGGCTGTCACGGATGGCCCAGCCTCTGTCAGAGAAGCCCTCGAAGCGAACGCCAAGTCGATGCAAGCTCGTGCTTCTTCAAGCCGAACCAACGACCAGGCAGTTAAGGAGCGACAGAGCAAGGTTACCCCTGAAATGTACAACCGCAGGTCGCCATTCCCTGTTCGAATCAGCCAACAACAAGAACGTCTGCATCTACCGCTGTTCCCTACTACCACCATTGGATCCTTCCCTCAAACCAAGGAAATCCGCATCCAACGCAACAAGTTCACCAAGGGTGAAATCACCGCTGAGGAGTATGAGAAGTTTATCGAGAAAGAAATTCGGGATGTGGTCAAGATCCAGGACGAATTGGATCTCGATGTCTATGTCCACGGTGAGCCCGAGCGTAATGACATGGTCCAATACTTTGGTGAGCGACTGAAGGGCTACGCTTTCACGACCAATGGATGGGTTCAGTCCTACGGCTCCCGGTGTGTCCGACCTCCTATCGTTGTCGGTGACATCTCTCGCCCTGCTCCGATGACAGTCAAAGAGTCCAAGTTCGCTGCTTCTATCTCCAGCAAGCCGATGAAGGGTATGCTCACTGGACCTATCACCTGTTTGAGATGGTCGTTCCCTCGTGACGACGTTCACCAATCTGTTCAAGCGGAGCAGCTGGCTCTGTCTCTCCGCGATGAGGTCATTGATCTTGAAAAGGCCGGCGTCTATGTCATTCAAGTTGATGAGCCTGCTCTGCGTGAGGGTCTTCCACTCCGCGCTGGCAAGGAACGAACCGACTATTTGAAGTGGGCAGTGGATTCATTCCGCCTCGCGACCGCGGGTGTTGAGGATGCCACTCAGATTCACAGCCACTTCTGCTATTCTGAGTTCCAGGATTTCTTCTATGCTATTGCAGCCCTGGATGCTGACGTTCTCTCGATTGAGAACAGCAAGTCTGACGCCAAGCTTCTCAAAGTGTTTGTTGATGAAGCTTACCCGCGTCACATTGGACCTGGTGTCTACGACATCCACTCCCCTCGTGTTCCTTCGGAGCAGGAGATTCACGACCGGATCGCTGAGATGTTGCAATACTTGAAGCCGGATCAACTGTGGATTGATCCTGACTGTGGTCTCAAAACCCGACAATGGAAGGAGACCAAGGCTGCCTTGACGAACATGGTCAATGCGGCTAAGAGCTTCCGCGCTCAATATGCCAAGGGCAATTGATGAATTATGTACCGGTCCAAGAGGAACGGTTGAACTTTGAGCTCGATCAATCAACCTGATCTGAGCAGGTGGCGTCACGGGGATTTGATTTGAACGAAACGGATGAATGACAAAAGTGCTTTTCAACATGATACCACTGTAGCGATGGGGGCTGGCAAAAGTCCGATCTTAACATCGGCGTTTTTGGCTGGCTCTGAAACCAGACAGAGGAAGGGATCCAATATGGTGATGGGATAGCCATGGTACACTGGTAGAGAAGAATGTCAGCTTTCAACAGAATAAGTCGATAGAATAGGCTTCTGTATGAACTTCTGCAGAAGAGAGAATCCTATCAAGTAAGTCTTCTGCCTCTTGCCTGGCATACAGAAAATGCTCATAGAATAGGCACGTGAGCGCGTGTCATCGAGGCGCGTTTTGTTACTGGCCCGCGATGTGGTTCCGGGTCATAGACTCCATCACCCCGCCAACATTTTACAATATTTCTTTGCCTGCGGATGAAGCTGACCAGACAGCTGCGCCAGATGGGGTTGGCACGAGCGACATCTTTCCACCGTCTACCTGTCCACCATGCCGGGTCACCATCCCAAGCAGCCGCCGGCGCCTCAACCGACGCGTGTGTTCTTTGACCCGTTCAATTCATCTTCGACGGGCCACCAACGGGCAGAAAATCGGCTCTCGGGGTCCACGTCCTGGCGCGAGTCTCGAACATACAAACTCTCCCACCAGTTCAAGGACGCGAGCGGCCGCGGCGGAGACCGACACTTGGCTGATCTGGTCGGCGCGGGGAGCGAGAATTTTGGCCTGGACGGGCGCAAGGCTAACGGCGACTGGGAAGAGGGGTCGCAGCAGGGATTGAGGGAAACGGGATGGCAGGATATCCGAGATTTGATGGGTGGGTGTAAGAAGCGACCGAGCGAACGAGGAGGGCAAGACGGGGAACCTGGCAACAAGCGCCTCAGGGCTGGCCAGGGTCAAAGCCACAATGGCCCCCAACACCAACACCGCCACAAGGGCGAGACAGGGGAGTCTTGTCGCTCGTCAATCAGACGACAGCAAGACAAGGCAGCATTATTGCCCGACAACAGAAATAACCCCAACACCGATCACACTACGACGACTGGTACTGCTGGTGCTGATGCTGGGTCTTCTTCGTCTTCTTCGTCGTCCCAACCGCCCCAAATCTTCCGCAACCTGACCATCTACCTCAACGGGAGCTCCTTCCCTGTCGTCTCGGACCACAAACTGAAACACCTCGTCGCCCAGCACGGCGGCAACACGTCCATCTCCCTCGGCCGCCGCACCGTCACGCACGTGGTCCTGGGCACCAGCGCCGCGGGCGGGGGCGGCCTGGCGGGCGGCAAGATCCAGAAGGAGGTACACCTCGTGCACGGCAAAGGCGTCAAGTACGTCACGGCCCAGTGGGTGGTGGACAGCGTCGCCAGGGGCGTCAGGCAATCCGAGAGCAGATACGTGCCCGACGGCGTTGGGGGGAGGATCGGAGGCAGTGGACAAGTCAGTGTGAGGCAGATGTTTCAGCTGAGTGGATGAGCTGCTATTACAGAATAGACCACAGGGTAACGGGGGTTTTTGGTTAGGTATTGCATAGCATCACATTGTATGGTGGGTGGGTGGTCATCATATGCATCGATGACGACTTTCTTTCTGCATCGAAGCGACAGGGTGGACGGGAGGTTGGGTGGTTGCACCACTTTTTACATGCATGGCTGGTCGGGGCATATACACATATATGAGACAATGGATTGGAAAAGTGGGGCAACACAGAACCCTTGTGGTCCTCTCCATAGATAGACCTTCCTCAGGAGGCATGAATCAAGAGGTTATCACGACAGGTCACGCACTGGGTAACAGGTAGGGAAGGAGAAGTATCTTTTGTTATGTGATGTGATCTCCAAATTTACATAGATGCCACAACCCTACGTATATGTAGACACATACATGCATGCATATACCTACGTAGATTGGCCTCAGGACTGCTAGCCTTCACATCCCCTATCGGACCTTGCAACTTTCAGACCATAGTAAACGCCAGATGAGACAATAAAACAATAAGCCACCCACCCCTTGACAACGGTGCAGAAAGAGACATCGCCATAAGAGCTCAATTGGTGCTCAGATTCGGCCACTCTGTATTTCCAGACGATAATTCATCATTGGTCAGCATGGTATTTCAGGTTTCCTTCCTCTTACACGACGAGGCTTTCTCGTAAAAGGGTAGAGAGACAGGGGTAGAGAGGGATAGGGAAGAGAGAAACTCACCAAATCTTGTCCTCTCGCTGTTCCGCCGCACAACCCTCACCTCGTCGCCGACTTTGATCTCGGCCGCGGACTTACCCTCGGGGACCCTGGCGAGGAATCCGTACCGCCCAAAGACCGGGCTCCATTTGGCGCCGGGGTCCACGCGCCGGTCACTCTGTAGCTTCTTGAGGATCTTGCCCGACTCGCCCTCGCCGACCTTGCCGGTCGAATAGTCGACGTTGAGCGAGTTGCAGCGAGCGCAGTTCTGGGTCAGGACGATTCTGGCACCGTCGTCACCGCCAATCAGGAGCTCGGCCCAGAAGTCCTCCTCAAACTCCTCCTCGGCGCCCTCGACGATGATGTTCGGGCGGAACTTGGAGATGTCCATCACTTCGTTGTCTGGGAGGCGGCGCTGCGCATTCTCCCACGACTTTGTTGATATCACGAGGTATGGCGCGACATCGGCGAAGGAGATACCCTGATCTACTCCCTCAGATTGCTTCTCTCGGTCCTCGGCTGTTTCCCCCGCGCCAGTGACGGCGCGCGCGAGCGAGGTTGCTGTGGACGTGATGCTACCCAACCACGAAGCTACGCTCGAAGTTCCCTTCGATTCCCCTGCGGGGCCATTTCGCTGCTGTGCTGCGGCGACGCTCGGAGGCATGTTACCCAGCACTTTCCTACTGTTGCTGCCGATATAAAACAGCTTAACTTGATAGCCGAACCGCTCACTGAACCAGCGGTTGTACTCCTCGCCCATGTCATAGCCAACGCAGGGGGAGTAGTGCATGGTAACCTCGACTTCTTCAAGACCCGCCGTGTCCGGATCAAGGGGCACCTGGAGGAGTTCCGGGCTGACCTTCTGGTCCGGATGGTCGAACACGTGATCCTTGGTATAGGTGACGGTGACCCTGTCATTGGGTCCGCCTTCGCCTTTAGAGGAGGAGAATGCCGTAGTGAACAGACACATCTCGGTGAAATAGGCAATGGCCATGTTCTTCCCCTGCGCGACGTTGAACAGCATGAATCGTCGGTCGTGAGGGAATCCCATGTACGTCGCCGGCATGGCGGGAAGGGAGACGCCGCGGAGGGATTTGATCGGGTAGGTATAGATCTGTCAGTGTCGAGAGAGACGAGAGAAGATTGGTGTCAGTATGTCAGGATTCGAGACAAGTGAGTCGGGTAAGATGGCATCCACTGAGTCGTCGCATTGTGCCTCTCCTCTGTCTCTCTCCCACTCTCACACACACACTCATGCATGAAGAGGGATAGATGGATGGGAAGAGGATGGGACAATCCATACCTGCTTGACGCGCAGCTTGTGCGGTGCCATTGTAGTCTGTGACTCCTCGGCCGCCATTTCTCCAAGACGTTTCTCCCTCAATTAAATCGCTGGGTTTAGGACACAAGTTACAACCACCAATCTCCGCAGAAAACCACCAAAGTCCAATATGTGATTCGTTACTCCTGTCTTCTGGCTCTCTCCAACTTTGTGGCCGCTGTTGTTGTTCCTCTTCAGCGAACGAGGCCTTTTGCTTTTCTGCCGTGTAGCCTGTGATCAGCCGACGTGAACCCTGATACGTCAACCCTTTATATTACGCGCTTGCTCTCTCTCTCTCTCTCTATCTTCAACCTCCTCTTGCGGCTCGGTTATCTCACACAGCAAGATGCGGAGAAGCGCGATCTCAAAATTTGTAAGAGAAGTGGGGAGACAAACTATGGGAAGAGGCTCGGGCCCAGGCACGGCAATTCTTTCTTGAGGAATACACACAGAGAGGAGAAGAGGAAGACTGACCGTCTAGCTCTCAAGACAGTCAAACCGGAAAGAGAAGGACGCGGAATGGAGAATGAGAACGAAGAGATAGGGAATCCGAGTTTGTCCTCACGCCCTTTCGTCCTTGAGCCGAGCAACGAACAGTTGATGCCGGAGATGAATCGCCCCGAACAGCCGCTCCAAGTCTTGTACGTACAAACCCCGCAATCCAGCCTCACGACGAGCCGAGAGTATGACCGTATCAGAATACCAATTGAGGGTAAAGACCAGCAGCCATGGTGCATTCATGACTGGGAATGAATGCTTCGAGGATTGAGTTGAACCATCAATGAGAGGGAAAGAGGGCGAGTATACCCGTGACGATGATAAATACTATCCAGACACTTCTCTTCGCTTGATATCATTTGTACAAAGCTGCTCATTTCAGCAAGTATACACCTGGTCACAGCCGATTGCGGGACATCTCCTCTTCATGTCACTTTATGTTTCCTCTCTGTGCCTCCTCTTTATCTAGCCTCTGAGTAGAGTGAGAGGCAGTATAACTCACGGCTCGACTAATTTCTTCCAACTGCCTGTCCAGCCACCCTGACTAAGACTCCTGGATCTTACGGAATATGGGATTTCGCGCCGTGAAGCTCCGGCATCGCTTGCCAAAAATCCACATGGGGATGGTGAGCAGGCAGATGAAGATGTGGAGGCCACCGATAATCGAGAAGACTTCCAGGGGTCCTTGCTTCGTGATCCAGTCTATGGATTGTCCGCGGACAGGTTCTCATGATCAGCTCAGAACAAACGGTAACTGGGGAGAAGAAACACGACAGCATCGAACAACTCTTTGAACTTACCGCTGATGAAATAGTTCATGCCGAAGCTGTAGATGTTGCGCAGGTTCAGCGACGCAAACGCCTCTGGTGCCTTGTTCCGGTGGCATTCGGTGATGTAGCCGTAGATGCCAATGTTGAGAAACGACATGGAGAAGTAGATGATGCCATACAATACCACGGGCCCAGCCCAAGGTGCCTCGTTCTCCAGTGTGGCCCCGAATCCGAAGAAGCCGACGACCCCTAGGATCAGGGTGAGCACGTTGAGCGAAAGGCGAAATTCCTGGTCGAGAGATAGAGATGTTAGCAAACGTCCGATCAATCCGGAGCCCAGGCAGCGTCTTACTGGCTCATAAATGCCTCCATTCCATCGAGCCAGCTTCTTCACCGTCCAGTCATTCATCGGCCCAGCCACGAACCCCAGCAACGATGCCACCAGCGCCGCGATGCTGATGAGCCCGACGTCCGACACGCTGAAGTTGTAAGGCGGACCCGTAAAGAGCTGCGCAAGCACCGAGATCATCACCACCAACCACGACGTCGACAGCCCGTACGTGATGAAGCCGTAGAGCACCTGCGGGAAGAGGAGCATGCCAAAGGGCCGGAAGACAATGTACAGCAGGTTCTCGTCCGACTCGGCGCCGCGCCACGGCCGCATTTCCTCCCAGAAAGTCCACGGTCGCTCGTCGGCACCCGTGTACAGCACTTCGGTGTGGACCTTGCTGCCGGATTTGGTGGTCTCGAGGTGTTCCATGTGTTCGCCCTTGACCTCTTGCACGTCCAGCGTCTCGAACGTGTGGTCCGTCGTACCTAGATCAAGGTTGTACGCAGGATCTCGCTTGTACACCGTCTCGGGCACGAACAGAAGGATCAAGATGATAAACACCCCATACAAGCAGGCACAGATGCCGTACGTCCAATTCCAGCCCAGATCCTGCTCGACGTATGAGCTTGAGAACCAATACACGTACAGATGCGAGATGAAGGTACCATACCTGTATAATATATCCCGAAATAACGCTGCCGCCGCCGACTCCGATGCTTAAGCATAGACCCCAGAAAGCTAGACGCAGGCCGCGTTCATGCACAAAGTAGATATCGCCAATGATTGCTGTTGTGAGGACCTCAAAGGGCGACATTCCAACCGCGCCGAAGATTCGACTGGAAAATGTTGTCAGCACCGGCACTGAAAATACGAGGCCCCGAACCACGATCCAAGTCCCCAGAGCATGGTCGACTCACCTTGCGAGCAAGCTGTGATAGCTGTGCGCAAAATAGCCCCAAACCGAAGAGATGAACAACAGAAGATTTCCCAGAATGATGACCGGTCGACGACCGTACTTGACCGAAAGTCCGTTGGTGATGAAGCACGAGATGCCAATGGCGAAGATGGCCCATCCCAGGCCGCCGTTGAGCGCGTTGTAGGACATGTGCCACTCCTCAGCCATTTCCGCAAATCCAGGAGAGATCATGGGACCCCATGCGCCAACAACGGCCGTGTCGATGCTGATGATGAGCAAGAGAAGGTCCTTTTTCCACATGGACCAGTTCAATGGATCTCTGGGTGACTCGCTGGGTTGAGGAACAAGCACAATGTCAGCATTGCGTCCCGTGGCATGTTTCAATCCCGAAGTATCTCGTCCTAGAAGTCTCGTTAACCCTTTTTACCATGCACAGAAGAAGCTAGAAGCACGGCTCCCACCATGAAACTGATGATGTTGCGCATCGACCATGTCTGCGAGCAACGCGGTGCCCGGGACATGGTCCAGATGTCGGTCTTCGAGAACTCCGAGACCCATGTTATCTTGTGCTCAAAGGGGCCAGTCAAGGATCTGAATCAATCTCCTGTGAAGCAATTGATCTCTAAAGACAAGGACACGACCAGATCAGGAGTTCAGAGGCCTTGGAAGAACAGGGTGTGCCACAGAAGAAAACCATGGCACTGTTTATATGCGAAATAAAATACTTGTGCATCTTGCCTTTCTGCGGGGCTGTCGGCAATGGACAGGGCTGCAGATACCGTAGCCTAGGTCTGGAACGACCAAACAACCAACAAGCACAGTCTCGCACAGAGGTCATTCTCCCATCTTGCGGTTGTGGTGGAACTAGAGGTTTCCCCAGACCAGACCAGCCTCCCATTCTCCAGTTTGGACTACCCCAAGGTGGATCGGCCTGTGGCGTACAGTACTTGTGCATTTATTTGCTCGACCAAAGATCGGCAGATATGTTCACTCATATTGGCCCGCATTGACAGTCGGACAGGCCAAAGCGAACACATTATTGGTAAGGAAAGTCTCCGTCGATGAGAAGTGCGTCGTGGCTCCCTGATATCAATCCACCACAAACAACAGAGGCGGGGAAGGAGGATTGTTCATTGCATGCTAGATCTGAATGGATCGTGTGCTTCGTGATTGGACGAAATTTGCAGGATCATGGTGGTGGTTGACTTAAGGCGTGGAGACAAATCGCTATACCATTTTGAGGAAATGGATTTGGACGTATCATAAGGACATGCTTTCAGGTCACTTTGCTTCAATTCTCCACAGCTTCAGTGATGACCATCAAGGGGCGCATAGCGGCTTCATAAATATAACCGAGTTTTAATGGGTTCATTCCTGGTCTGCTGATCAAAACCTGCCTCGGTTCGACCAAGTTCTCATTCCAATGCAGCCTCGCCACACTGAATGGGTTCCATGGCCACACGTAGGCGTAGGATACTGCCAGATTTGCTGTATAACGGTAAAGATTGTCTCAGAGAAAGCTTCTCTGGAACAGTCATTACTGGTGGGGGAGCAGAGCCACACCATGGTAGCATAAACGTAACTCAGCTTCTCAGTCGAGGCACCATTTTTATGACTGTCTGATTTCGACAGCTTCAGATCGATGGTGCATGCATGCCAGGTGAGAAAGAGACGGGCTTCTGACTTGCAGGATTCCCCTCCCCAACACAGTGCACCTTCTTGCCTCGAAGCTCGAAATATCGGCCGTGTGCCTCACTTGCGACCCTTCTCTGGACCGTGTACTGAATGATACGTGTCTCATCATCGAGTTGGCCTGCACTCTCATTATGGACATCCTGTCTCTGCAGTCGGATTTCCCACGGAACTGACTGCAAGACAATTTTTGGAATAGTGGCTGGTTTTCACAACCAAGAGAAACTCCATCTCGAATTCCATTTCTCGCAAGATGAGGCGGGGAACAGAGGCCGAGAAACGCATATATTACTCGACTCTTGTGCTTCGACTGCCAACAGTCTTCTGGAATTGCAATGGTCGAGCTTCTCGGTAGTGAACTTTCACGGCATTCTCCTTGTCGCTGATTCTAGCAGGATTCGAAAAAGATCCTGCACACGGCAGTATAGAATCGCACTCATTGACCCTAGCCATGCTGATCCTACGTCGTCAATGTCCAAAGCATCAGCGTCGAAAAGGAAAAACCCTCTTTGTCATACCCTCGTCGTAAGATCCCATCGACTCGTCCCTAGACACAGAATTGTGTCTAAGTAGCTCACATGAGGATTGTGAAGACCTTAGTCTGACCTAGTAATAATTGATGCATGGGAATAACTGAGGTTTGACCACAGGCATCGAGAGAGCGGAAACCCAAATAGCATTTTCTTGGCTCGAATAAGATTCCGCCGCGCCGCTTGCCAAGATGATTCCAACCGTGACTCTATAGGCCAAAGACCCAAGGCCATTCTCGCTCAACCTGCCTCCGTCGCTGGTCTCCCTCCAACCAAGAATCGCCGCTCGCCCGTTTCCGACGCCAATAATTCGGAGATTTGACAATTTTCAAGGATGAAGCGTCGAGTGCAGACAATCCAATGTTCCAGCACCAGGCTTGAACCCTCTATCTCGTCTTCTGGCGCTCACTCACACTAGTTACGTGCCTCCGCGCAGGCGATGCAGACGGCCGTTGCGCCTTCTTGGAGTCTTCTGCGCTACCTTCGATCTCAATCAAACTCGATCTTCACAAACTCCAGTTCCTTCGCAACATGTGCTCGAACGCCGTGTCGAGCCCTATCCACCACCTCCCGCCACAAGCGTCTCTCCTCAACTGAGGATATATGGCATCCTGTCCGCGAACCATGCAAAGCTCTTCCTCCCTCAAGATCCTGTCCCCCGAACATTGCACAGTCTCGTAGCGCCAGCACCGAAAGTCATAAGCAAAGCTTTTGGCGACGGTGGCTCCGTCAAAGGGCCGCTGCATCCCGTTCAAAAGCGCCACGAGATTCTTCGATACCATCCTCATCCTACGGGTACGACGAGACTTCGGCGCAACTCTTCAATCTCTCTCGTGCCCTTTCTCGCAACACCAGCGGCGCAGAATTGAAGCTCCGTTGTACCGAGTTTGACGCCAATGGCTCCGTCACAATGGTATCAGGCGAGTTCAAGAAATCGGAACTTATCGCCAAGTATGGACTGCTGCCTCGAGACCTTCGAAAGATCGACTCCTCCGTCCTTCCCCATATCCTCGTCCGTCCTTCGGCCATCCTGATTAATCTCCTCCATCTTCGAGTCCTTATACAGTCTGACAGAGTTCTGGTTTTCGACGCTTTTGGAAGCACTGACTCTTACACTCAGTCTCTGTTCATGTATGATCTGGAAGGGAAACTTCGACAAAAGGCGGACCCTAGGAATGGCTCTTACAACCTACCATACGAGCTGAGAGCTCTTGAAGCAGTTCTTATTTCTGTCACCTCGGGCCTGGAAGCAGAATTTGCATTGGTTCGCGATCCAGTCACACATATCTTACGAGAACTCGAAGAAGACATTGACAGAGACAAACTACGACACTTGTTGATACACTCCAAGAAACTCGGAACATTTGAGCAGAAGGCAAGACTGGTTCGAGATGCCATCGACGACCTCCTCGAAGCAGATGATGACCTATCTGCCATGTATCTGACCGAGCGGAAGGCTACGGGCAAGCCCCGCGCTGAAAACGACCATCAAGAAGTTGAAATGCTCCTCGAGTCTTACCACAAGATCTGTGATGAAATCGTCGAAATATCAGGTAATCTAATCAGCAATATCCGCAACACGGAAGAAGTGGTCCGAGCTATTTTGGATGCCAATCGCAACCAGCTCATGTTGCTCGAGCTCAAGTTTAGCATTGGGACACTCGGACTTGCTGGCGGGACACTCATTGCTGGCCTCTATGGCATGAACTTGAAGAACTTCATCGAAGAATCAGACTGGGCTTTTGGTGGAGTCAGCGTTGTGTGCTTCGGTCTGTCATGGTTGATCTGCATCTATGGCATGCGGAAGTTGCACAAAGTGCAGAAAGTGCGTATGTGGGGCGAAGGGCTTGACCACAGCATGGGCTTCCGTGGTGGCAAGATCGGGGGTCGAGGGAATTGGCGCAATGAAGCAGTGGAGAGCCAGGCGCATAAAATTGGTCGGTTGAAAGCAGGAGGAAGTGCTCAGACCGGCCGTGTGCTTTGGCCTGGTATGGACGGGTTGGGAATGCATAAACTCAACAATGCCAACAACGATGACCAGCAGCAGCAGCAACAGCGGAAGGGAATCTTTGGCAGCAACACAAACGCCAACGCAGACGCGGATGCTGGGGCGAATGCACCCGGCATGACGATTCACGAAGACGTCGATAACGTTGAGGCCAAGATGAAGGCTGATGCGAGGACGGAGAAAGGTCTGATGACCAAGGAGCAGATGAAGGCACAAAAGAGGAAGTGATGCAAAGTCACTCTCAACCGTGACTCTGTAATATATCTGTGATGTTACGCGATGGTGTTTTGTCTTTCTCTCCTTTCTTTTTCGGGCATATAGATAGGTGGCTGGTCTCATCTCCTTTTGAGCGTTCAAGCGAGGACTGGAATGGGCGGTTCTTGCATAGATCTATATAACACGGGGTCACTGTGTATGAAGGGCACACGATAGACAGGTTCCAGGTCTCAGGACTCAGGTATTGGAAGGGGGCCTTTGTAATCGAAGACATCTCCGATCTCAACACTCCCGTATCTTAATACATATTGTACCGAGAACCGAGTATTGCGGGCGGGCCGTGTGTATCCGGGGTACCAGATGGAGTGTGCCGTATTGAGTATATACATACACACATAGATATATGTACGTATCTATACTGGCATATATGGAGATATGAGTCTCGGATCTCAATGGAAGGAATATCATGACATCGATTCTTTGTGTTTGATTGTTGATGTCTCCTTAAGTCGAATTGCGTCTCCTTTTGATTTCTCCTATAGAAGCACGCACCGTTCGGGCTTGCTCTTTCTGCTTATTGAACCGCTGTGCTCGTAGCTATGCTCGTTGTCATGGACTGACGGCGAAATATTCATCGATCGATCGTCTCTGAAATCACCCCAGAGAACCACTTTTGAGCAATCGTCTGAGTCACCATTGATGGCACCCGTACTACCGCATCAGTATCCACCGTTCACACATCACGTCTAGTACTACCATATTCCTCTTGTCCAAGCCTGAACCGTTACAAGGAAGCATTCGGAAAGGCCATAAACGTATCCAAGCTTGTGGAAGGCTGTGTAGGGATCACCAATCATCATCATCATCCTTCTCGTCATCTGTTACAGCAAAGTCAGCATCGGTTCACTGATCGAGTAAGAAAGGACAACGCATCCCCAAGAAATTTGGGAACCTCGCAACCAGGTAAAAGGGGGGAACTTACCGCTGCCACTAACTTTCTTCTTTCTCTGGCTCAACGCTGCGGCCAATGCTCCAGCCAGACCACCCCCTTGATCTCCGGCTGGCGTTGAGGGAGATCCTGACGCTCCCAGAGGCGGGGGAGCACTACTTTCTCCTCCTGGTACCATTGCCGCACTACGGTCTCTTTTTTCGCTGTCCTTGACCTTGCGTAGGCCACCCCCAGCTTTGCCGCCTGAACCGCGAATAGCTGCGAGAAGCGAGTCACGGTTATCGCCTCCTACAGGAGGCAGAGCGGGAGGGGCAGGTCCAGAAGAGCTGGGCATGGGAGGAGGTGGGGGCGGGCCACCAAAGGAAGGCATGGGGGGCGGCGGAGGAGGTCCGCCACCAAAAGAGGGCATAGGGGGCGGTGGCGGAGGGCTAGCGGAGGAAGGCATTGGCGGTGGCGGAGGAGGCGGGGGAGGTGGTGGTGCGACAGCGCTTGTAGGTGGAGGGGGAACTGCTCGAGTATTCGGGGGTGGCAGGGGTGGTGCATTATTGCGCGCTGGCGGAGGAGGTGGAGGCTGAGGAATGAACAACGCAGAATGTGATGGCGTTTGTCCTGCTTTGGGTGGTAAAGGCGGTGGGGGACCAGCATAAGCAGCGGATGTCTCACGACTGGGTGGTGGAGGAGGAACAGGTCCACGACTCGGTGGCGGCGGAGGCGCAGAAGACTTGCGTTCCCCAGTGAAAGGTGGCGGTACTCTAAACAAGCCACCCTGGGGTTGTTCCTCCTCAATCGGAGTTTTAGGTGGACGCGGCGGAGGTGGAGGACCTGGATTTGCCAAGGAGCCTGAGGAAGCTCGAGCTCGGCCAGACGGGTGAAGTGCTGGACCTTCTTTGACAGCAAACTTGCCAGCATCTGCAATAGGCGGAGGGGCGCGGAATCTAGGCTGTGGGCTTGCCGTGGGGGGAGGAGAGGGGTCCCTTGCTGGTGGAGGAGAGCTTGAACGAGGAGGCGAAGGCGCTCGGCCACCCACAGGTCTTCTCGACGGCGGAGGGGCCGGAGGAGGTCCTCTCCTGCCTGAGGAAGAACTGCCAGTATTCTCCGGGCTAATCCTCGATGGAGGCGCTGGGGGAGGCGGAGGAGGTGGAGGAGCCCTTGATCTGGTCTCGGTACCTGTGACCGTTGGTATATGAGAACCAAATCCATTGGCCGCACCTTCTGCCTGCTTCTCTTGCACATAACGCTTGATGAAGTCGACGTTTTCGGATATTTGATCTTCGGTAATGCCCATTTGCAATAGCTCGTCCAGGATGGGCCTCAAGTTTGGATCATTCAGATCAATTGTGTCTGAGTTTCCTTGTGGGTAGCTTGTTGGGGCATATCCAGGGCTGTAGATAGGCTGCGGGATCATTGGTTGAGGTTGTTGGGACGCAGAGCTGTGGCGGTGACCACGGAACAGGTTGCCAACCCGACTGTGATGTTTGTGAGAGCTTCCAGGTACGTGTAATTGGCCTCCTCCAGCGGTAGATGCGAAAGGCTGAGCCTTTGTATGTTTGCTGGCATTTTTCTCACGCTCGTCCATTTTTTTCTTGAATTGTCGAGCCTCTTTCTCGTCGACAAAAGATAAGCCGGCGAGACATTGTTCGAGCTCAAAGGAATGGAAGAATGTGCGATCCTGGTTATATTGAAAGGTGTCGTATATTTCTTGATCCCATATCACGCCTCGGTTCGCAGGAGATATATCGACGAGCTTGATCCAGAAGGTGTTTCCCACCAGATCGTTTGAGAGGACCGCGGCGCCTTGAAGACCAGTATAGGTCCATCGGTTGCGGTTGGGGTGGGCGACGTAGAGACGAGCGACAGCAACGGCTTGGATCTTGTTGGAAGCCTTGGGCACAGTCCGCTTCACCGTCTCCTTGTCAGCATCGGAGAGGACGGAGGGCATGTCGAGGCGAGTGACGGTACTCGCGGTCCGTGAAGGGGGAGATAAAGGCTCGAAAAACAGAGATGACTTGCTAAGCGGAGTAAATTTCAAGTCAAACAGGAATAAAACAAGACGAGTAGAGAGTAACAGGCTTGTATCAAAGTATAGAAAGGTGGTTGATGAACCGAGCAGGCAATTCTCCAAGGGCTTTTCTGTGTCAAGGCGGAGACAAGAGAAAGGCTGAGCCGCGTGGCATTTCGGTCGGATCAATCTCGTTTGGGGAGTCGTTGCGGGGGACCAGAATTCGCAAAAAGGGCGGCCATCCCTGGAGTCACCTAGCCCTCCCTCTAGGGTCCTCCCCTGTTTGCTCTCGGGGGCTCTTGCTTAGCCCGAAGCCCTGCAATTGGTTGAGCTGGGCGGCCTTCCGTCACTGATGCTTCATCTGCAAACACCCCACACCTCAGACGTCATCGCAATGTTGTGCAACCATCCGCAGACTGCAGGCGCAGGAGCCTGGGAATGTCACGGTCACGCAACAACTTGATATCATCACTATATAAACTTGTTGGACCCTCAATCCTCTCCTCATCCTTCGACCAGACTTTACCAAAAAACCCCTTCATCACAAACAAACTTCTCAAAATGCCTGTCATGCCAAGCGAAGAAAACACCGAGTCCCATATCTTTGACAAGGTCGCCAAAGAGTCCAGCGATTCCACAGCATCCGACCACCCAATTCACAAGGGAGAGCAAAAGGCACAAGCCCATCATCATCAAAGCAAGGGACCTCAGATCTCCGACAGTGAGTTTCTTCTGTGCTCTTCGGCAGTGGGATGATCAAGAAAGCTAACTTAGGTCGTTTAGGTATCCCTGCGGAGACGAAGAGCAAGGAGGAATTGAAGGCTCAGGCACAGGAGATGAACAAATAGATCCGATATGGATAACCAAAGAGATATACAATGAAGCGCCACTACTGCGAGCTGCTACAGTAACAGTGAAAACAAACAACGGATGGAAAGGAAAGAGCTACATCCAGGGTCACTCATAGGAACATAATAAATCATCGACACGAGAATTGCATCGTTCCTTGTTGATTGGGCAGCACTATTTCCCTATGTCTCTCTGTAATCCTTTAAACCCACCCGTCATATCAGGCTCATCATATAAATTGAACGTTCCATGGCTGGACTATCCATGGGCACTTTGTCACGACTTCCTCGCACGCTTGCCGAGTGGTTCACCGTCATCCCTTCGCTCCCAGCTTGTGGCCAACACTGGATTTCCCTCGTCGTCTTTGTTGGCCATGGCCTTCTCCGACACCTCTTTACCGGTCACCAGCTTGGTCGAATATCTTTTGTCGGTCGGCGCTGTCTTGGGGACTGAACCGGGCAATGTGATTGAAAAGTGTACGAGCCGCCGACAAGCATTCTCAGGATCTGTCTTAGCAGTGTCTTGCGTTTCGATGGTAGATTTCGTCTCCTGTGCTCGGACAGGGTTGGTGGTCTCGGTCTGGCTGATTACCGCACCGTAAGTTGTGGCATTGTCTTCAACGCTGGCCTTGCTGGCCTTGCTGGTTGCCGGTGATGATCCTTTCTCGCCTTTTGCATCTTTGGCTTCCTTGTCGTCACCTTCTGGTTGTTCACTGTAATTCCAAAGCTCCTTCAGATGCCCTTTCACCAGGGCAGTACCCCAGAATGAGAGGAGGACCCCAGGAACAAGGTAGAGTAGCGCGGGCTGCGCATGTTGTGCAACCTGCATCACGACCACGGTCACAATCATTCCAGCGAGGTATCCCAATATAGTAGCGCGAAAATAGGGTTTGGGGAATCGTTTGGCCTTCATCTCCTTGGACCATAGTCTTGAAGAGGTCCAAAACCGTTCTCCCCACCATCCTGTCGCGCTGACATATGTTGGCTTCGATGCATCTCCTTCTAGTTGCTGTCCTTTCTTCGATTGCCGCAGATAGTACAAGTACAAGTCGAATCTCAAAGCAAAAGCCAGCATCATCCCCGGCACGACAATATCGCCCAGCCCCAGCATCGCCATAGTTCGTTTCTTCGCTAGGCATTGCAGGTACTCTTCCATCGCCACCGATCCTTCAGGCGCACCCACAGGAAACACGCAGCCATCGGGTCGGGGGAAGAGCAATTTGATGGGTACGTCCAGTTTCGTTGCCACTGTGACCATCATCGGGGTGAAGAACACAAAATATATATCATAGAAGAAGAGTGCGCTCAGCACAAGGGTGCCTGTCCAGGCGGTCGTGGGCGTCATGAATTGCAAGGAGCCGTAGCAGAAGGAGAAACCGAGGAAATTGGTTAAGAACCACGGCTTCGACACGAATGTGTGAACATAGACGATGCTGCCGGAGAGTACGAGGCTTAACACGTCAAGAATTTCGATCCACGTCTTGATGGTGATCAATTCGTGAAGGTGGAATTCGAGCCGAGCCTTCGTGTACAGTATCGCGCGCAGATCCCAGATAGAGTGGACAAGGGATGATGGAAGAGGGATTTGTCCTGCGAGACCCGGAAATGGTGAGCTGTTACGCATCCCGTTGTCCGCCCTGAAGCATCGCTGCTTCTGGTCCACCTTCCATAACATTCCTGAACGAGAATATTCAATCGGAAGTATAAAAGACCGCACCACAGAGAAGCCGTCTTTCAGAAACTTCGTCGCGAAGAACAAGCCGATCTGCGAGAAGTAGATACCCAGGACCCAATTGAGCCAGGCGGGATCTTGGAGCCACTTGAGAATAAAGTAGAGCGATGCCAGTGTTACACCGGCCAAGACAGGGAATAATATCGCGTCAGAAGGAGTCAGGCTCTCAATTCTTGTTGGAGAGTCCTCGTCCTCACCTTCTTCGGCGTCTCCATCGGCGTGTTTCTTCGACTTCTTGGGTGCAGCTGACGGCGGCCTCGACAATGAGGCATGAGCGGCTGTGTAGATGGGGAAAATGGCCGAGACAAGCAGATGTATATAGGTCGGCAGAAGAGGTCGCATACTCTCATAATGATAGGCGACCTGGCCTAGAAGCTCCATAAGCGGTCCGGGCTCTGAAGCCATCTTTGCAAATTACGCGCCCCTGAGGGAGAGGGACAGGCTGAGACCAGCATATGATGACAAATCTGATCGCGGGAGAGTGCGCACGGGCTGTATTCAGAGGCTTCAGGGGGATACAGGGACAGAATGACGCTCTTGCGTATAACTTAAAAGAGACACGAAAAGACTCAATTTCGCTTTCAAGGCTGAAGTCTGTCACTGTGATTGATGGCTGAGGCCAGGCTGGCCTTGGCGGGCTTGGATGGTCGCAAGGCTGAGTCCATACAAGCGCAAGGCTGAACTTATCCAGATTGATTGGCCAGTAACACATCGCGTCCATCCAGCTCAAGTTGCCCATTTGCCTGTATGGCTACCTTCGTGGCTTATAGTATATGAGTAACCGGAAGGATCTCTCCTGTATTTTCTTCACTGCTCTCTCCGCCCAATCGACCTCGCGCCTGTACTGAGGGAATGGCAGCAATGTCTCTATCGCCATCCTCAATGGAGCCGCAACACATTTCGGCCCTTGATCGAGCATGTCGTCTTGCAGGCTGTATTCGACAGACTGAAGTATATTGCGACAGGGTGCGGCGAAGTCTGCCCGATGTTCTAGTGGTGGGAAGTGGAAGATACTGCCAACATCATCGGTCGAAGGTCCGGTAGTAGCCCCGTCCACATTTCCTCGTGCGAAAGCGGCCCCTTCTGCAAATGCCGTCTGCAATTCGGCAATCAGTCCATAGAGGTTCCACAGACCCTGCCACAAGATAGCCTGAACCCCCCAGCTAATGATGACCGTGTTGGCGATGGAGAGATTGGGAAAGTGGAATGCCACCGGAAATAACATGCCATCCTTCGAGCCTACGTCAAGACTTTGGTCTTTCGCCAGTTCTGGCCAATATAGTGGCCCGTCATGGCTCTTTTCCAAAGAGTCATAAACAGACTGTAACTCGGCGTCCAGCTTCCAGCATTTCCATATCATCTTCGTCGCAAGCTGCAACTTGCCATCAAAATCCATGTGCTCGAGCATCTCGCCCTGCCTGAGTAGCTCTGGCGCACATGTGAGGAAGTCGTAAATTCGGTCATAGGGTGTTTTCGGTTTGACTTGCCAGGGTACCTCCAGCCACAGCGGATCCCCCAAGAAGGAAGGCTGGCACAGGTCGAGAGAATAGAGGATCTGTATCTGATTAGCTACTCGCCGCTTCGTTAATGTCACAGACAGACGACTCACGCCCTGAATCCTGAAATGTACGAAGATGGAATGCCCCAACCCATCCGTATGCGCCTCCGCACCACGAAGTTGGATCAGCTTTTGGCAGCCTAGAGTATGACTGATGTATCCATGTTTTGACTGATTCGGACATTGACTCATCTCATACATGCCTAAAGCCACACAAGCAGCAAGCGTCTGGTCATGAAGCATCAAGTTTCGATCCCACAGTGCTATTTGGACCTCGCGCAGAGCTTCGCGGTAAAGCTTCAGACTCTCATGAACAAGCCCTTCATCACGATAGACTTCGCCAAGCTTAGCGACAGCCAATGCCATCATTGAAATTTCTAATGCTGGAGTAAGATCAGGAAGTCTGGGGACCTGTATCAGCCACACTCTCTGCTGCATTGGACCAAGCCTGTCTTTAGACAAGTGGTTTTCCAGGTACAAGCTCAAGAGGCGCTGGCGAAGAGCCGGGTTGGTGTTGACTTGGGCTCCCAAGCGAATGAGGCTTTGGACTGGATCGAGGTCAAGACCACCAGATGGAGAAGATCCCACCACTCCATTGAAATCTACAGGATCTGGCTGACTGTCGTGGGGACGTATTGTCGAATCAATGGTAGATTCAACATACCCTGGATGCTTGGGGTCATCGCCCTTGGGCGGCTGATGAGCAATGAAGATGGGGTATTTTCGGTATCCGGTGCATATTCTGTTCGATTTAATGCACTGAGCACAGGAAGGTCTTTCTAGTCCACACTATTAGCGATGGTGATTAGCGACACTCTGTTCCTCTGTACTAGAAAGTGACAGGGATTACCGCGATCTTCCGCTTCCTGCAGGTGCCACAGCCACGACTTCTTGCGATCCCAACCATATGGCTTCCGCCAAGGATAAAGCTGGACTATAAAGGTTCCTTTGAGTGTCTCGACGGAGTGGTAACAGAGGAGAAGATACTGCAGGTTTTGAAATCGTCCAGTGTTCAGTAGATGCGTTTGGGGGCATCTTGCGTAGACGAAGGGTTCAAGGCCAAGCACCCCTGCAGCGGCAGATAATCGTGAGTCCAATCCTTCTGCACAAATGAAACGTGTCCTAGCAGTCCGCATCGAAGGTCGAGTTTGCAGGTTGTCTGATGAGGAAAACGCCTGGTTCGCCTTTGGTAGGCGTTGTGGCTTCCCACTAAACCGATAATAGATGATTGTGCGAGCCAATCGGCACCTGGTGCGAGCGCCTATCACGTGGTTGCGGGCAGAAAGAGTAGCAGGATGTCGTTCACTCCACCGTGCTCATTATCTTCACGTGACTACGCATACAAGTACTGTGGACTATTAGATCACCAAGTGCTATCCCAACACCGTGCCTGACGCGTCGACTTCTCCTGAAATCTTCACGGCAGCGGCACCACTGTAATGTGTGCCTTAGGCTACGGGGAACTTCTCTCTATTCGCCACAAGTACACCTCCGGAGCGATATGCCACGAGCTCCATTGAGACGAGCTGCAAGTATTACGGATCTTCGCTTTACCCTGAGACGCGTCTTCGGCAAGGCGGCATTCCGACCACTCCAGGAAGAGGTCATTACCGCCGTCGTTGCTGGACACGATGTATTCCTCTGCGCTGCTACATCATTCGGGAAGTCACTATGCTATCAGCTGCCAGCTGTTGTCTCCTTTGGGGTCACTGTTGTCATTTCGCCCCTCTTAGCCTTGATGGATAACCAGGTCCAAGCCGCCAAGTCCTTGGGCATCGCCGTCGAACGTATCAATGGCAAGACTGAATGGTCCGAAAAAATGCGAATTGAGACCGATCTTCTTTGCGGGCATCCGGAAACCAAACTTCTCTATGTCACTCCAGAGCTTTGTGCACAGGACCGCTTCCGGAAGCTCATCATGAAAATCCACCGCCAGGGTCAATTGGTGCGAATTGCTGTGGACGAGGCACATTGTATCAGTGAATGGGGCCACGATTTTCGTCCGTGCTACAAAGAGCTAGTATGGTTGAAGACCAACCTCACCTGTCCTACCGTGCCGCTGATAGCAGTGACTGCGACCGCGACGAAACAAGTTCGAGAGGACATTTTCAGATATCTTAGCCTTGATATTGATAAGACCAGATGCTTTTCCACCTCTACTGCGCGACCAAACATTCATTATGAGATTCAATACTTTTCAGAGTCGAACCCAGAGAACGGAGAGGATGACATATTCCCATACCTTCTATCAAAACTGAACTTTATGTACCAGAGGCGGCTAATGCAGCTCAGACATCGAAAAGAGAAGCTTTCAACAGCTGCTGTGCCCCCGATCACAGGCATCATCTATGTCCCACTTCGTGCTACAGCAGACTCGCTTGCCTCAAGACTGACTGCGGCGGAGATCCGAGCGAGCGCTTACCATGCCGGTTTAGACACGGAAACACGAGAGAAAGTACAGAGAACATTTATGAGACGTGCCATTCCCGACCAGCTTTCGGCACAAGCTGATGACAACCAAAGTATGACGGCCTCGTTTAACATCATCTGTGCGACAACGGCTTTTGGCATGGGTATCGACGTCCCCACTATTCGGTTTGTGATCCACTACGGTCTCCCACGGGGCATGGAATCTTTCACGCAAGAGTCAGGACGTGCTGGCAGGGACCACAAAGCAGCATCAAGCATAATCCTATACACCCGAGAAGACAAGGAGCGGTGCGAGTATCGAGCCAAATGTGAGGCAGCCAAGGACAAAAGCCCGGCCAAGACGGAGTCGAGGTTCGAATCGCTGCGCAGCATCGTTGAATTCTGCGAGAACACCAACTGCTGCCGCCATTTGCTAGTCTCCCGGTATTTTGGGGAGAAGAATGGCTCCGCAGAATGTCACTTTGCGTGTGACGTGTGCAAGGAGGGGCCGATCAAGTTGAAGAAACGCAAGGAAAGGGGCCTGGCCACAGAAGCAGAAGCGATGGAATTCACACAAAGGGAACCAATTCTGGATTATGAGTCCGAATAACGAGACCCACGGCTGCTAATAAACATTTGATACCCATGGAACACGATGCAAGAGGCGCCAAGACAGGCACGGTACGACAGTCAAAAACGGAGATTCTGCCCTCATTAATGGTCAGGTGTTTGGCGCGACTGAAGTCATTTCATTCAGTGCTCCAGACATCGGAAAGTACATCGGTATGCACACGCTTCAAAAACTGTCGAGAACATGTCGTTGTCTAGCATCAACCAGCCCTCGCTAGATGTCAACTCTTGAGGTTGTAATAGCCTTCCCCAAACTCTACCAGCCAGGCCTTCTCTACCTTTGAGATGTCCTTGATATATACTTTCTCCCCAGTCTCCAACAACTCGTGAAACACCACGTACTCTGCTTTGCGGTTGAACAGGAGGGAGGTTGGGTGCGCGTGCATGGTGACGTTTCCAGAGACGGATCTGAATGTCCCATCCGGCTGCATTTTGGCTGCTTGTGAGAAGAAGCCCGTCACCAGACACTTCAAGATATTGGCGGCCTTGTCCTTTGGCTGAGCACTAACGGATGTGGCTGCGGCCTTTGAGTCCTCCACTTTGACGCCGAGCCGCTCAAGGTATCGCCTCAGCTGGTTCCTAATGCTCACTGCTCTTTGCATCGACTTGAAATTCAGATGATGCTCGTGGCACCACCTCGCCTCCCTCTTTCCCCTAGTCACAAATGCCTGATATACATTCAGCAGCGTGAGTTGATCGCCTTCTTCGGCAGCGAATTTTCGCCGCGACAGGTCCATTGCCTTTTTCTCTCCACTGTGATGAAACCAGACATTTCCTTGTAATGAGGTCATCGCTGCGAGGGTGAGCATCTCGTTCTGACAGTCAAATTGTTGAGACGAGGAAGCGAGCAGGCATTTGGCCATCATGGGCGGAATGGCGCTTAGCTCGGCCATGCGTGTTCCTAATGGCGAAGTGAGCTTTGCATAGTCGTCTACGGCGCCCAGGGAGTAAAGCAGATCAAATGCGCGGATAAGCAGTTGCGAGGGCGGCGGTGAGAGAAAGTCAAAACGCACAACGTTGTCGATGCCAAGTGCTTTCAGCTGGAGGACCACGGGGGCCAGGTTTGACCGTTGAATCTCTGGAGTAGTCGTTGCCGGGAGCGATGAATAAGATTGCTGGGTATAGAGGCGGAAGCATTTTCCTGGTCGGGTACGCCCTGCGCGGCCGGCTCGCTGGGTTGCAGATGCTTTCGATATGGGAAACGGGGTCAATGTCTCAATGTTTGTGTTGGGGTTGAACGCACGTAGTTTTACGAAACCACAATCAACCACGTATACGATACCCGAGATGGTGACGGATGCTTCTGCGATATTCGTCGCCAGGATGACTTTCCGGGTGTTCTCCGCCGCCTCGGAGAAGACGTACATTTGCTCTTCTGTGCTGAGACCAGCATAGAGCGGGAGAGGCTGGAGAGCCTGTGCCTGTGGAGGTAGAGTTGATGCCAGGTCCACGAGCTTTTGCACGGCTCTTTCGATTTCTTCTCTGCCAGTCAAAAACACGAGGATATCGCCAGGCGCCTCCTGTTGATGGATTGTAAAGGCTGTCTGTATGGCTTTCTCCAGATAGTCATCTGTCGGTTGATCAAGATAGAGGATATCCACGGGATATGTCCGACCTTCGATGCTGACTATCCGACATTGTTGCTCACCCTCAGGAGCATCGTGGTCGGTAAAGAACTCTGCAAATCGCTCTGCTTCAAGAGTGGCACTGCTGACGATGATCCTCAGTTCCGGTCGTCGCTTCTTCACCTTCTTCAGTAGACCAAGCAGAATGTCGGAGCTGAGTGACCTCTCATGAGCTTCGTCGATGATGATAACGGAATATCTCGTGAACAACGGATCAACCAAAGCCTCTCGCAATAGCATGCCGTCGGTGAGAAATTTGATTCTGGTTTTGGCGGAGGTGACATCTTCGAACCGGATCGAGTAGCCCACCTGTTCACCCAACTGACATCTCATCTCTTCGGCGACACGTGCGGCCACGGTGGTGACGGCGACTCTTCTGGGCTACAGATAATGGTCAATGGACTCTGGACCAACCGAGAAATTCAAGTGACCCACCTGCGTGACTGCTATGCATTGTCCCTTGGAGCACCATCCTGCCTTTTCCAGATACTGAGGTAGTTGAGTTGTCTTCCCACTGCCTGTTTGGCCCACTAGCACCGTGACTTGGTGCGTTTCAATGGTATAGAGTAGACTGCTTCTGTGCCTGGCGATGGGTAGTAGTGATGGCGGGGTGTACAATGCTGGTATGAAGGACGAATCAAGATCTGACATGGTGCTGGCAGGCTTAGGAGATCAAGCTCAGTGGCAGCTTTCTGAAAAATCATGTCCACGTTAAATTAGCAGCTTTCGACTGGGATGTCGATTGGCGACGATACGCAGACTGACCTCGAGGATTGATATTCGCACCGCCACAGAAGGACGACGCAGACAATGCGACCAACGCCACAACAACGTCATCACAGCCACTGCCAAGTCGCAGGCAATAAGCAGCGTAAGGCAGGATCATTTCCGGCCCCACGCCAACTGCTTCTCTGGAGACATGTGTTGTGTCAAGTGTCGATTAACTGAGTTGCCTGAGTTAATACAATTGATCTTTGTTCCATGAGAAGCGCATGCATCAAGAGTCACGACTGAAGGAGAAACCGTTCAACCATCGACATGACAAGCAACGATCCCGTGAGAGATATCCCTAATCTCCTAATATATGGCCTCTAATTGACACTGCGCAGCCGTCGCCCGTCTCACCACTGAAACCATCCGATGGACCCCCAGAATCTCCCACTACTGCTCGACCCCTGGATTTCGATAGCGATCAAGAGACCGGCACCATCGAGACGACTACAGCGTCCAAGACAGAGTTGCCTTCGCAGCCTAAAGTTCCTCCCAAAGACGATGTCTCTGCACCACCAAAACCTCCCCGACCCATGTCTCCGCGGGAACAGGCAGAGCTCACTTTGAAAGAAGCTTTTCCTACTATTGAGATCAGCGTCATCCGCGCAATTCTCACTGCAAGCAGAGGAGAGATTGAACCTGCATTCAATGCCCTCCTTGGGATGACGGACCCAGAATCTCAGCGAGAACCAGAGCCTTTA